AGCACAGCGTTTAGTGCGTTCCAAGCCCTGATGGGCGGCACGCAGGTCTTGCAGAGTGGAAGAACGTAGTGAGATGGGTACGGCCATGCGCTGGCCGCTCATCACAATGCCAAAGTCAAAACATCTATGCATCCATGTTCCCGGAATGCACTCCACTTTCTATTCAGTGTTGGTGAAAACTTAAATATGTGGGCGCGTGTGTTTCTGTCTTATAGGAGATGACACTGCAGTGGTGCCTGAAGCGAGCAGAAATGGTGTTCAAATGTGTCAAGGGTGAGTACAGGGGATGGGATATTTTTTAGATGCGCTTACAACCTCTGCGATCTATTGCAATCTGAAGCATGTGCTTACTGAAAGGTTTTCTATGTTCATTGCATTCACAATTTCACACATATGACCCAGTAGTAGTCTAAACTACTAGAAGTGGTCAAACGGGCAACCTATAAACTATTGGACGGGCGCGGCCACTAACGGGCCGGGTATCGGTTACCCTATAAGGCATACCGTGGTTGAATGCAATCCAAACCATACACATGTGACCAGCCATTTCACATCCATCACACTCACACACAGTATAATGATATGTACTTGTATATTATTATGCTTATTCCCTACTGATGGATACACTTGTTATGGAACGTTATTGTGGCGAGCTCAGCAAATTACACATGCCAAATCAGATGCAAATCATGCAATCATGCACTGTCACGAAAAGGTATTTGATTGACTTTCGCACTTTTTTCATGTAAAAGTGTTAAAATACGCAACACAAACCAATCACTTCCTCGTCTTATTGAGTACCCGATAACGGTCGGGTCGGTTATCTTCTAGGGAGCGGGTTCTCGGGTACCCGGCCTACCCGTTTGATCACTAGTCTAGATTGTGTCTAATTCAAAGTTTCATGCCGAGCTGCAATCATTGGGAGAACTTTGCTCTATTGCCGTAATGATTGCTCTCCGCCAGCAACGCACAAGCATTTTTTTGTTTTTTGTTTAATTTTTAAATCCTGGCATTCCCTGCAGGTTTTATGATGGAAAATTCTTCGTGGAGTGGCACAGAGACCAGAACGATTCAATTTGTACTACCGCCGGTATGTCTTGCTACTGAATGCATCTCTTCTGTTCGTTTACCCACATACTCAGTACATGTACGATACATGTACGATGGGTTGCATGCTATAGTACTTGGTACAGTACTGTCGGTCGCTGGAGAACTGGGGGAGGGTCAGCCTCCTAGCCTAGACTGTTCTTATTTTCATGTATTACCGTCACATAGTCGAGTCACCGTGTATACATTGGTGTGCTGTGCTTGGTGAAATTCTAGCCTGGTCGTTCTTCGGCGCCCGACAGTACTGTAGGCTAGAAGTCGGCATTCGAAAGTTCGTATCCGGAATATCAGCGTTGCACTGCTGCTTTCCCAACGTTGGCCTCACTGGACGGTTTAGAATGCTGCAATGGCTCGAGTGTCGTGCTCGGTGGAATAGAGGGTATTCGATTAGTCATGTGACAGTACTTTTTCAACCTTATATATAAGGTTTTGCCACCAGTCTAGCGCCTGTCACCACTAAATCTCGCCAAATATGGACAATGAGGGCAGCCTGTCTTCTATAATATAATCTGGGTATCTTGTTATAAGAAGGAGCTGTACAGTGCCGTTTTTTTCTTCTATTTGTCCTCCGCTGTTATGGTGTGTTTGCAGGGCATATCGGATAGTGTCTTCACGCACTTCACCGCCATGCTTCCGAACATATTCCGTGTAGCCAACGCACTGGATCTACGCTGATCGACTTCTTGCTGGTTGGTGGATCGTATCTGACCGCCCTAGGGCGTGTTGCTACACCGCACACATCTATCATGCGACATGTTCCTCCTCGCACACAACTACACACACTCTTCTCATCACTCAACATTTTTTTCTTTTTCTTAATTTTAATTTTTATATTCTAAAAAAAAAGCATATGAAGCATACGGAACATCATGATAACCTCTTGAAAATGGCTATGCCCCAAATTAGTTATAGGTGACATATTCTTCATTTAGGGAGACTCCTGGAGAGTGCTTCATTTGTTTAATTTTTTAGGCATCAAATAAAATCAGTACATTCATAGATAACATCACTCACAGTCTCACAGAAGATCGACTCGCAAAGAATCATTTTCAGTGTCTGCATAATATTGTTTTTAGTCTATGCTGAAACATTTGAATACTCAGTATCACAGCCGCGACCTATCTTGTATTCCAACGCATGGTGGCAGTGTGATTTTAATACTGCGAAAAAGAAAAAAGCACTTGTTACACCCACCCAGCAACAGCCCACATGCACAACATCACCTATGGATGCGCACACAACAGCTTATAGAGCTTTTTCAAGGATGCCTTCCCCGCCACCGCCCCGGCGATCGCCCCGAGATTGTGGTGAACAGGTCACATGTCAAAATGCATTGAAAAGTACTTGTATATGAAATGTGACAGGTTCGTCTCCACCAGCGCTTGGAGCGATTCTGAAGCTTGTTCTTTTTCACCCAAGCCATGGAAGGGCTTCCTGGCAGCTGCTCTGACTCAACACGAGTGTAGGACATCAAGTGGAGAGCCATTCTACTGCTTCTTTCACCTCCACGCATCCATTCCCATACAAAGTGAACGTGAAATGGGCTTCTTTGCCTGTTCACGAACGATTCAAAAAGCCAGTTCTCGCACGTTACCCCAAAAAGTGACCGTTGGTACAACCTTGAAAAAGCTCTATAACTGGGCTCAATGTGTTGCCCACATACATGTAGGATGATGGAGCCAGTCCAGAGCCCTGTACATGCAGATGTGAAGGAACTGATACCAGTTGCATTTGTGGGGTTTTGTTTAACCCGACACTGGTTAGGACATGTTGTTGGTTGACAGCATGTAACAAGGTGGAGGACACCGTGTTCGGAAAAAGTGACCTTTCTACAACCATCGACGGTCGGTAGAGCCCATCTAATAGCATGGTTAGGACATGTAGCAGTCATTACAGTGTGAAGATTACCGCTCATTTATTCGCTCATGCATAACCTTCCTAGGGGCTCCCGTAAGAAGACCATAGGTCTGTGGGAAACACCCTAGTAAAATAAAAGTTAATAATAATAATAATAAATAATAAATGAATGCCATTACATGGCAAAGCTCCTTCTGTTCGATTTATCTATGTAACAAGAATGTCAGCGGCATTAGTCGCTTCAGATTCCTTCGCACCAGTGAGAATAGAGTCAGTATTGCCTATCGCGCTGGTCTTTGATTTTGAGCATTTTATCACTACATTGTATATGCGATATATTACTATGACCGATTCTGCATGTACTGTATGCGAATGAAGTACAAAGACTACTGAGGGCGCTGTCCGCGAATATCAATAATTATTATTATCACGAAGAGAATTCATTTTAGCTTCAACTCAACCCCTCTCTCCCCCTCGAAACGTAAAAAAGATCAGTGTTGACACATACATGCATATGCGCAGCGAAAGTCCCAACTCTGCACTGTCCTTATCACATTCGAATGCGTTGTGTCCTTCTCCCATTGTTGTTCTCACATTCTGCTGATTGTAATGAAAACTTACTTTGTGTGGTGTACATGTACCAGCCTGTCCAGGTACTAAACCCAAAGATACTCTCCTGTGCCCAGCCAGCTGCTGCCAGTGCATGCTGAACCTTGCTGCTGGTACAGTTACTACTCAGCTGACTTGTAGACCACTCCCTCACAATAGTTACATGATACAATAATGCACTTCTGTAGTGTGCATAACTGCATAACTGCATAACTGCATACATTTACCTGTACATCCATAGTCATCGACATGCCATACTTATGTAGCTGCCTATGACTCAGTTTCATGGGGGTTGTACATTTACATCAGCGCTTATTCGTTATTGTCACCCAAAACAATAATGTTTTGTGACAGCCTCAGAAGCCACGTGCCTACTGCAAGTCGAGCATGATTCCTAATTTCCTATGGCTCTACCGCGTACCGTGGCCGACGTAGCTACCGACATCTATCTCCACACGGCTTCAGTGCTACTGCTTCAGGGCTAGTTCAGTGCTACTGGATCCCCCTGGACTCGTGCCTGTCGTGCTTCACGAGTTGTGAAGTAACGTAGTTCTACGTCGCTAGCTGTGGAATTCTCTAACATTGACATGTGGCGTAGAAGGCGTTGACAATGAAACATTGACTGCTGTCATTCATAACATGCATCTGCCATGGAGGAAGGCATGCTCTGCGCATTTGGCATGTTATTTCCCTCCAGGGCCATTGCTGCGTTCAGGCTTGTGTCCGTGGCGGGGATGTGAAAAGGTGCGAGCGACGGGACCGGGACACCAACAGCCGAGCAGCGTGCTTCCGCGAGTCGAAGCTGCCCTTTCTTCGTGGTTTACTAAAGGCATGTGCCCAGGATCTAGACTACTGTAGGACTAGGAGGTCTGGAGTGTTTCTTGGCACGAATACTCAATCACTTCCACAGCGAAAGCACACGCGTGTTGCATGTTCTTGGAGGTCTTTCCGGCCCGCACCTGGCGCTAGCTTTAGAATGCTACATGCATATATATGCGCATGGTGCATGCAGTGCGCTACAAAAGTGAGCACGTGTTGAGCTCGAGGAGAATAGGTTTGGCAGTCTTCGTAATCTTTTTCTTTTATCTCAGGTCTCATGCAAGTGAAGCAGTATGGATAATACTGTACATGACGACGTAGATCTACGAGCGACTCGTACCACAATAGTATCTTCTGATAACGGCTTCGAATCGTTGGTAGATACCACAGCGACCCAGATCATAATAATAATTATTATACAACCACGTCCGACCCTGATCTACCACCGCTAATTGAGGTTCTCCTGCACGCTGGATCAGTTCAAGTCCCTCCACTCGGCTCAGCTGGCAGACACACTCCTCCACTCCACCTCCCAAACTACTTATTGTACATCGTCACTGTACTTTGTAGATCTACAAGCCGTCGACTTTGGACGTGCATGCAGTAGAGATCAGGGCTGCAGGCCGGGCTAATCAGGGCTCTCCCGGCAGATCAGATACACTAAAATGATTGAGTAAAAACCAACCCACAAAGCTGAGCGGAAGACTTAGTATGTACAATCATGTAAGTAACTAACTAACTTAGTCGTATCTACGAGGGGAGTTGTGAGTGACGTTACAGCAATACTGATGATGATCGATGGCAAACTGTATTCATGGTTACACTTACTACTATTACCAGTAGTAGCAAAGGAAGCAATCTTAATCTACTAGTATTCGTTTTCTTGATGTACTAGTACTCTTCTCGGATTGCTTTCTCTCTTGTGATTATACTGGAATTGTTTTCTGCCCGTAGAAGTGGTTTGGTCAGCAAAGGAAACACCATTGCCACCATGACTCATGAGCGGCTAGGTAGTGATCAGTGATCACTAGTAGATCTACTAGTAGTAGTACCATAAATTCATAAAAATAGCAGTGGAAAGTGCACTGGAACTATTACTTGTGGAAGATGAGTCATACAATAATATTTAGAAAATACTCAACCACGGGTAGATGTAGATCTAAGGGTATACCGGGTAGGGTCCGTAGGGCCAGGGACCGGTGAACCGGTACATGTACCTCTTGGCTTGATCATGAATTGTTGAGTCGTGACTCAACCAAACACAGACCAACTGTACTGTACGAGGAACTCGTAGTACCGGTACAGACAGTACAGGCAGTGCAGTCTTTAGCAACTACAGTAGTTCGACATGCAGTGCACTACAACATGTGTTTGTAATGTTGCTGCTCATGTGCATCTTGCACTACTACGTAGAGACTCTACTACAATCATAATCATTGCCACAATGATTATGTGCCCCTTCGATCTCGACGGCCAAGATGCAGTCTTTCCTTGCTCCATCCAGTAAGTAACTGTTGTATAGAATATACAACAGTTACTGTACTTACTGGATGGAGCAAGGAAAGACTGCTACAACAGTTACTTACTGGATGGAGCAAGGAAAGACTGCATCTTGCCTAGCTTGGCCGTCGAGATCGAAGGGGCACATAATCATTGTGGCGTTTATGGTGTAGAGTCTACCGCAGTACCGGTCTACATAGCTGTGAGAGGCTTAGGAAACCGATGCCAACTGTTTACCCCGACCCCAGTACCGGTAGCTACAACCCGTCAATGGGCCAAAATCAAGGAGCAACATTTACGTCAGTAGTGTGTCAGTAAATACTAGTATTTCAACACTCCACTCTCCAGCCAACACTGCACTGCTGGCAACAGTCCACAGTGGTCCAAGCACCAAAATAATTAATACAAACGCTCACGCCACCTCGGCCTAGTACTTACCTCCCGCGGCCTGAGTTGAAGCAGGTAACCTGGTTCTTACCAAGACTCCTCGGCCTCGAGGCCTCGCTGTGCATGCATGTGGGCCTTTGTCAAGTTTGTGGCTGCACTGGGTAGCTTTGTCACAGTAGCTACATATACATGACCTCGAGCACACCTCCGGCACACCCTCCACGAGCCACCAGCATGATCAAGATGAATCTAAAAAATCATGCACTCCTGTGCGCGTGGGACTTCCCCCGCCATCAGCACGCGTGCAGCACGTTCACCAGTCACCAAATGCAGCATGCTGATTGGTCAGTTCTGTACAGCCACGTAGACGGTCAACACCGTGCGCGTGCTCATGCACGTGCGTGCGTGGTCGAGAAAGCGTGCAACATTCAAGTCAAAATCGTGATCATTGACTTCGCGCTGCTCTGCAAGAGCAAGCACAACACTAGCACTGCAGCTGGCAATGGCGTGGAGGAGAAATCAAAGCTTCTTCAAGTAAACCTCCTACTGCGATGTGTAGTTCATTGTTGTTTTGCTCTGAAGAAGAAACATGTCTTGTCAAAGCGTCTCCTCCCGCAGCAGCAGCGCTTCTCTAAGCGACGTTGAAGTTGCTGCAGAATCTTTGGTGTCCATGTCGAGAACTCCAATGTCAACTTCGACTCATGAAACCTCTGCCATGTACGACAGTGGATGTAGCACGTCTTGCCCGTCATCTCCCGCAACTAGATCGGAGGGATGTGCATCTTTCAGACAGAGTATTCCATCACCAGTAGCACAAGTGGAGGTGAGTAAATAGTTGTACTAAAGCCTTTCAAATAATAATGGGTTTCGAATATGTATGCAAAGTGGTGTCGAAATTTGAATGCATTGACGGCAAACTCATCGGTGTCAGCGGCAATTGGTGACCTTTGCTACCTTGTGATATTATGCTTTCCGTAGGTTGCAACACCCCATCAGCCAACAATGCCACTGGTCTGGATGTACCCTCATCCTCATCATCAGCTCGTTCCAAACCCGATGACAGCTATGTACCCCTGCCAATTGGTCCAGGCCGGTCTCACCCAACCCACGACTGCTACTCCAATAATAGTTCAACAACGGACTCCGAATACCCATATGGCCACTGCAGTTGTCAGCAGTGCTTCGGCAGCGCAGGCAATGCTGCCGATGAACCAAGGGACATGCGTGCAGCTGCCGACTACTCAAAGGCAGCCTCAAGCAGCAGCGGTACCCACTCAGGACGAGAAGACAACTCCTGCGACGCAGCCAGGATGCAAGCAGCAGCAGCAGGCCGAGGCGCCACCAGCTAGGGACAGGAATCACATTTGCCCATTTCCGGGCTGCTCGAAGACGTACTATAAGGGATCTCACCTCAAAGCACATATCCGAACGCATACAGGTAAATTTGAAAATTCCAATGCAAAATGCAGTCAATTATGTACTGACCTGCACTGTTGGAATAATACACTTCTGCTGGAGTGGGGTGGGAGCAACAAGTCAACATTGCGCCCCGAGAGACCAGCATCACTAGTATAATATAGCCTAAGAAGAATGCATATTTGCGATAGAGGATAGCTCGTGCAGTTTTGCTCTGAACAAGTCCATCAAATGCTTACTCGTGTGTGTTTTCTTGCCTTACTTGCTGTAGGTGAGAAGCCGTTCGCATGCCAACATGAGAACTGTGAGCGCCGTTTTGCACGCTCAGATGAGCTTGCACGGCACAGGCGAACGCACACCGGTGAGAAGAAGTTTGTGTGTCCGCTGTGCAGTCACCGCTTCATGCGCAGCGACCACCTAGCAAAGCATGCCCGTCGCCACATGAACTCCGCCAGAGTTCCCGTCTGGCGTCTGGAAGTGGAAAAGCTGTCTCAGATGGCCATGCTGACGACACCTCAGACAGCACCTGTCATCGCTCCCTCTCCTGTTGCGCGCACACCAGCAGGCATGGTGACAGCAAACACAGCAGTTGCCACAACCGTCCGGTGAACGTCGCCTTGCTGCCCTCGATACTCTTCGCGAATAGCATGTCTTATAAAGTGCCTGGAAGACCCAGGATCATGCTTCTATAATTTTTCGTTCGTTGATTTGGATGCATTCTGCTAGTCTAGCAGACCGCACAAAAGTAGCCATACAGCCATGTAGTAATCTTTCTCTTCTTGTCCTCTTTTCTTTAGTCTGGCTGTGAGCATCCATAATAATCTAGACCTACTGGTATTTGCATGCTGTTGCTTGAGAGTATTTGCATGCTGTTGCTTGAGAGCAGTCCCAGTGCTAGCTTCATATCGTTGCTTGAGATGAAATTATATAATCCCAGATGTTTTCTTCAACTCCACAGCTGAATCGTAAATCAGTTTCATAATCCCAGATGTTTTCTTCAACTCCACAGCTGAATTGTAAATCAGTTTCATCCCGACCGTATTGCCTTTTTTTTAATCAACCCCTGTCTACTTTCGTCTTAAACACCACTTGTGTTACCGTCAAAGATTTAAGTCGCAACATCTCCGTTCATTTGTATGTTGTTTGCATATTTTGGGGTGATAATTATACCTCAAAAAGTGGTAGATTACATATGAGGCGTTTCAAAATGGAAATGTTCGTGCAAAGAACAAACATGTGTTTGGTGGCTGATGAGAATTACTATGAAGATTCATGATTGTTGGTCAAAGTGAGCTTTTAGTTTTACAGCAAGTTTTAACTAGTTGTAGGATTGCTGGCAGTGCATTTAAAATGAATAAGAACTTAGAGAGGGCAGCTCCATCCAGGGAGAAGCCTTGTTCTGCATCTGCATGCACGTTTATGTAGACACTTTTTTAGCGTTTCAAATAATAATTACTGCACATGCATTGTTATTATGGAGGGTCCTGAGTGAGGCAAGATAACTTGTGGTCGAAGGTCCTGCAGCTACAGTATAGAAGTAATAGTAAGGGCAACAGCATAAATGAAAAAAACACATGAGTACCTCGAAGAGCAGTGCTTGAAAAACCTAAGAAGTGGGCACCAAGACTTGGTCCATGGCAACATCATGATCGTCGACTGGCACGTCCTGGCTGATCTGTGCTGAGAATGACAGTGCTGGACAGGGAAAGCAAAGGACAACGGTGCTATAATTATTTATCTCGGAAGCGAACTTGCGAAATTCTGTTGAATGGTCCTTATAAGGAACGTCCACGTGGAATGAGCCACACTGCATGCTTCAGGAGGATTTACCGTAGCTGCCACAATACTCTTTGGGACCTCTGGCATGCTGCTCAAAAGGATCTGCTTGTAGTTTTGGACTAACGTCAAAAGTAGAGTTCTAGCCAGGGTGTAGGAACACAGCAGAGTACTCTCTGGTTCTAAGCTACAGGCATGTCTACATGTGCCATGGGAGGGGAGTAGAGATCTAACAGCAACGTACGGTACATGTATAACAGCGGACAAAAAAAGGTAAATGCTTTTACACGAGAACCCACGCCTGCTTCAGTCCACAGTCGCAGCCCTGCCTGCTTTTTCGGAGAACCCTATCACATGGCTGCGGACCTCATTCAATTGGCGGTAAAGATTTGGTCCATATTGGGATGGCTCCAGTCTCACTGTTTGCCCCACCAAATCCAGGCAAATTCGGATGACTCTGAAAGTCTGAAAAGATGACGAAGAGGTTCGGTGACTTGTTTGTTTCACACACAACACCGCAGACATCTCGTTGCGAAACGACAGGATGACTGCAAGCATGGGAGGTGGGATGCAAGCACGGTGCAGCACTTGCCACAGGCACCCACGGCGTACGAAGTAATTTGGCTTCTCTTTTTTCAATCAATAAAGGTGAAGAAGCCCTTTGCCATGTGCTCAATTGTCGTTTCAAGCGGCCATCGCACGCTAAGCACCATGTCCGTGCAGGATCTGCCTCACCGAAAACCACACGGGGACTCTGGAAAAAGCCACTAGCCAGAACTTGAAAAGCCGAAACTGGACGAGACTTAAGAACTTGCTATCGGACTTTGCTGACAACATCTACGAGTGCAATGCAGCGTCAGTTATCGCAGCGGGCCAGGTCGCCTTTCTTTGGGATGGGAACCGGGGTAGCGTCCACCCAATCCTGCAGCACCACACTGCACATCGCCAAAGAGCTCCACCAGTTTGTTGCACGCACGCACGCACACACACCATTTGACCATTTGACGCCAATCGCCGGAGGCAATGATAGCGATGCTACAGCAGAAGCCATAGCAACTTGTGCTGTGGGATTGCACCATTCAACAGCTTGCAAGGCTGAAGAATTGACCGCCACTATTTAGCCTGGTCTACACCACACAGCTATGAAGTGGCTTTTTCTGGCCAGTGAATCCCTACTTTGGTCTTTTACCGCACACACACACGCGCGTGCGCGCGCACACACACATTTTCTGAGTAAGTTCTGACCTTTGACGCCGAAAGGGGTGATAATGATGCTATCAGAAGACATAGTAACTCGTGCTGGGATTGCAGTGGTATAGCCAGGATCATGATCAAGGGGGAGGGGGTGCCACACTTAATTTCCCACAAAGGTACAACGCAGAGAAGCTGTTTTCGGGTGGAGAAATTTCAGCCCTTGCATGTGCACCATACCGTGTTACTATCCCCCGGAATTCTTAGATTTGCAGTTGATCCGCGATAGGTACGGGCAAGGAAAAGAAGCCGAAGCAAAAGCAGCCACCACAGTTGACATTGAAGATCAACCATGAAGTGTAAGCTTCTATAATTATAGTGACAAGCCACATTCCGGGTGCTGCTGCTTTCACTGGAACACACTCTCCATCGCACTTAAATTCAGATTTATCAACCCTTTTATTCTCATCGTCTTGTTGGATAGTGCAGTGTAAAGGCACCGTTTATCAAACAAACTACCTTTCCACAAAGAACCACGGACCGCACTTCAACTTACTCCTCTACTGCTGTACGTGCACTTGGAAGTTGGAACATATGGAAGAAACTTATTTTTTGTTTCCACGGCCGCCAGCGCAAGCAGTCAGAACTACAAAACATAGCGGAAAAAACTGCTATGTCAAACGTATATACTACAGTGAATGCCTTTTGTGTGGACTGTGCTGCTGACTACGCCGGGTCCAAACAAATTGTGGACTGCAATACACTCAAACGTCTCTTATCTGGACGCCTCAGATACGGGCACGTCTCTATACCGGGCACCTTCAGTTTGAGCTCCTATGCTCCTATGCTTCAAATTTGGAGGGTTTGAACTTTTTTTCGTATGCGCAAGTGCTTATTGATCACTGCCAACCTGTTTAATCCACACATTTTTATCAAAGGATTCTTTTTGTAATCTGAACATGTGCAATACGTGCCAAATAAACTTCTTCAAAAATGATTATGATACATGGTAGATGAGTTATCCCGAGATACGGGCAAACCTGAGATATGGGCAGTGCCCGCTCCCGAGGTGCCCGGATAAGAGACGTCTGAGTGTACGTTTTTCGGCTTTTTTCCCTCTTTTCCCCCGCACACCTACCATATCACATACTTCGGCACACGCACACACACACGCACACACACACACACACACACACACACACACACACACACACACACACACACACACAACTTACCCAGAAGAGAGGGAATGTTGCCAAACTGCTCTCTGTATCTGTTCAGATAGCTGTCATAGTATCCCTGTGTGGAAAACAGTAACCGATGGCAACAGATACAAAAAGTAACCAACGGCAACAGATACAGAGAGAAATAGAAATCAACGGCAACAGATACATACGAGTAGAGAAGCTTCATCGGATTAGACGCAGAGTTGCGTGCAGGCACTGGATCATGCTTCGCAGGGTGAAGGCTCTCAACCGATTCAGAGAAGAATGCTCCCACATTCCCACAACCTGGAGTTCCTTGTAGTACCACGTGTACAGTATAGATACGGAGAAAAGAAGAAAAAATAATATAATTATGGGCATAGAAACTGTAATACGCACCTTTCCGCGCCCCAACCTTCGACCATCCTGGGCACACATACGCACACCAATCAACGCCAAAAACACAGCTCTGCATCTCCACAAGAAACATTATAATGTTGTAAACTTCTGTAGAACAAGTAACAGCATAAAGTATTCAGTGACCTGATCAGCAAAAAGCGTATCATTTCAACCATTGAAAAATGTAGCTGCACTCAACTTGTGCCGCTATTATTTGCTGTTCAGTGAATAGCGCTGTGAGTAGAGTTGCTACAGACATGAAGCTGCAGGAAGTGTGCATTCTCCATCTGCATTCAATACTTTATTTTCAAAACGAAACTCCTAAAAACTCACCCAACCCCCAAACGAAATTTTTCGTTTTGAAAATAGTTCAAAATACTATTGGTAACCTTGGACAGCCCCTTAGTATAACTTAGAATAGTGAGAATAGTGGACGTAGCAATAAAGTGAAAACACAATGGGGTCTTGTACATTCAACACCCAATCGGGTCTACGAGGTTCTGCGGAATTTCGTGCACCCATACAATGTGCATACGGCTCATAGGACTTTGGAGTTACGTGCACTCATTCCAGCAGTAATGCTGAAACCCCCCATTGTGATGTACAGTCAATCTTGTGAATAACGACGCTTGCGTACAACAACAACAACTCATGTACAACGACACAATCTTCAGACTTAGTGGCCATTAGACTGCACAGTGCATACTGGTACTTTGCAACCTCACGAATAACGACAACTTGCAAATAGCGACACTTTTCTCATGCATGATCGAGGGCCGTTGTTCGCAAGGTTGACTGTACGGATGCATTATGACGCACTGCCAATCTACAAAATAATGTAGATTGGCGGCGCATCTTTTCTCCATACCAGACTGTAACGATGTAGATGTACATGCACACGGACAGTGAAGCCACTTACCATCGAGAAGCCCAGTCCTGGCATGACTATCAAATCCAGCCCTCCAGTTTCCAAGCAATTTTCCCGTACATCCGAGTCTATACACGCAGGCACGGACGCACACAAACACAGAACGACGAGGGACGAGTTGCGCTAAAGGGCCAGGTTGTACACTACATTCATGTAGTCCGTTTCGCAATGTCCCCCACCCCCCTTTTTTGGGCACAGATGTGATACATGTACAACACCACCCCGAGCTGGCTACAGGAATACTACCCGGTATGTCTGTATGTTTGCACAAGCATCTGCATAGAGTTGGAACATGGTCCGCTTGCTGCTACTTTCACATCTAGCAATTATTGGTGGGAATTTGCAAGTCTTATTGAATGATGAATGATGAATCTACCGCCAAGTTGCATCAAGTGGTGATCACCATGAAAAGCTTTGCCGCAACGGAGAAAAGCCACCAAAAGGGCTTACTAGTAGCTGGAGTGTGATGGCGAGCAGTAAAATACAGAATGGAGCTTAGCGAGGGCCCTGAGCAAGCAGCTCCCAACCACGCATGCATACACACACACGCACGCGCACACACACACACACACACACACACACACACACACACACACACACACACACACACTACTACTACAGCATGACTGCCCATTGGGCAATGTCACCCCCGGAGGGGGTCAGAGTTTGGAGGGCACCGTCATTGGCAGGACTTCTGGTGCCTCGTCAAGTCTTGCTGTCGTCGGAAACGCTTTGGGCAAATACACACACACACACCTTGGACCTTGGACGCGCTGCCATATTCTGGCTATGCGGACCCCATGGGGGGTTGAGCAGGTTCGGAACAGTAGGGGCGATGACGGGATAGGTCCTGTGGTCTACTGAAACGCCGACCGCAATTGCAAACGATGCAGAAGGAGCTACGGTCTGTGTTGGTTGCTCTGGCCGAGCCACGGCTGCACTTGTGACGTTTCATGCCTTGGCGCGATAGCACACAGCGGTTGCAGCGGGCGCAGTGGAAGCTGCAGCGTTCGCAGGACATATTGTTTGTAACCGGTGACTCAAGTGTGTCAGAAGATGCCTCTGCTGGTGATGTTGCTGGCGAGCACTTGTGTCGGGCAAATCCACCCTTGCTCCGGAACCATCTGTCGCACTGATCGCAGTGACAGCTTCCTGGCTGTTGGCTTACGGGTAGGGCACGCGTAGCTGTACACTTGTGTCGCTTCCTGTCACTTACACGACTGAAGGAGCGTTGACAAGTTTGGCACACAACCGGTGATGGTCGAGGTCTGTTCTGCTTGTCTGGCAGACAACGGTAAGCCTTGCGCCATTTGGAGCGAGAAGAGGTGGCCACTTCATACCAGTCGTCAAGTGGTTTGACGTCACTCCGAACACAGTCTCGCCACCTTTTCCGCAGACCATGGGCAGGTCTCTTGTTTGGAAACGAACCGAACAGTAGAGCCTTCGGGATGCGCTCATCCTCCATCCTTGCCACATGACCAAGCCACTCAAGGCGACGTCTGCTGAGACGACACTCCATGTCCAAGGTATCTCCCCAGCGCTCCAGAACTTCAACACACACACACACACACACACACACACACACACACACACACACACACACACACACACACACACACACACACACACACACACACACACACACACACACACACACACACACACACACACACACACACACACACACACACACACACACACACACACACACACACACACACATACACACACACACACACTATTAAAATCAAGACTATCACTATGGCACCCACCAGCTGGCTGCCGAATGTTCCATATTGTCCGAGGCAAGCTCTCGTAATCCTCCCAGGACTGAAGACGTAACATATCCATGTGAGGCCCGATAATGCGAGGCACAAATAATGTCCTAGAAAAAACCCAAACCAAACAAGCAGGTGAGTGCAATATCTGGCAGCAGCGGGAAAATTAGGCACCGTCAACGCGAAATCATAGCCACCGACACAACAATCAGTACCAGTATTGCCACAGACACATGTAGCACACATTACCATGGTGGCATTGTCAGCTTGCCCATATGCATGACTACAATACACATCCTTATGTATACCTTTGCTGCCAGCACCAGATGTTTCACAAAACAAAGTAACTCAGGTGCCTGAGCTATCGCACTTTCACCAAAAATCACACACTGAAGTAAAGATGCAGACGAGTGTCAATGCTTCACACATGCGTCTTAGCACTAGTTTATACAGAATCAAACAGGGATTTGTCCACCACTGGTCCAGGATATGTTGGATAACACGCGTACACCGCATACTGCATCATCAAAAGGCGTCAACATGAAATTCTGTTGAGGCAGCACTGATAGTGGAGTTTGCACACTCTTGAGGACTACATGAAGTACGTCCTCTTGGTAACACCAAGAGTACATAAACCAGAGTGTGCAACTCAGGATGGTTCCTGAACTTCCTGTGCGAGCGCAATCCGTGCAGTACGTCTTTTTTTGACGGCATGGTAAGTCACGCGTACGGTGAAAAGTTGCGTAACCAGTTGCGGCGGGCCAGGTCACTGTTTGCCCTGATTTAGTTTTTTTTGGATACTGATAGCCTGGTGAATTTACTTGCCAGTGGATGTACGCAGCGTACGTAGTCACACAAAGCGCCGAAATCCTAAAACAGGGCGTCTAAAATCATGCAAACTTGGCCGATTTCCGGGCTGTCAAACACGAAAATTTGAGCTGTACGAAAGTCGCGGCTTGCCTGACCTCATCAGGGTGACGTAGTGCACGACCTGCGCTGTTTCAGATCTGATATTATGCATAGTTGTACACTCTGGTTTATGTACTCTTGATAACACTGATACCACTGATCACCCAGTGCACTGTTTGAAAAGTGAAATGCACCTTTGAAGAATTCTCAATTATCTCCTTCTGTAATTTTGCTGCTACTGACCCAAATCTCTTCCAGACCCCAAACGTTTGGACAGTACACTATATCTCTCTTATCCGGACCTCCAAGTTACAGGCACCCTGTGGGTGTGTTTTAGTGGAAATATTACCGCTCTTCTGCCAATTCTTGCGGAAATAGTGATGTCATATGCCAGATCTCTGGCCCTTCCCCATAAAGGCGTATGTGATTCAGAGTTGCGGACATTTTAAAGGTATGGGCAGAGCCAGGTCCCGGGCCGCCCGGAAAAGCAAGATGATGCATCATGTACATGTATATGTATACACACGTTTGCGTTGGGCATTCGTTTCGGACCAATCTCACAAAGGTGTCACTAGGAGAAGGTGTTGTTAGGGTGCATTATATTAAATTTAGAACAGTACATGCGCACACACACCTCAATTATCCGGACCCCAACGCCATGGGCACTTGGATCTTCAGGGCACCATATTGGACGAGTTTCTGTGGATCAATTCTTGGAAAAATGAAGATGCAACACGCCACATTGGGGACCTTGCCACATCTAAGTACTAGTATACGACGTATAAGTGATTTGGATATTTCAAACTTCCGCACAATGTCTGGTCCTGAACTGTTCGGATAAACGAGGTATGGATGTAGACTTATCCAATTACAGAACAAGTACTTACTTTCCTTGTTTGAAGACATCCTGGAGTGGAATACACAAAAGATAAACAGGAAAAGACCATCACACATCAACAGCACACTGATCAATGACCGATATGGTAAAGATCTGAGACGTACGCATGCATGCACACACATGCACCCACCCACACGCACGCACGCACTCACTCACACACACACACACGCATGCAAGCATTCATGCATCCAACCTTCCAGAACATAATAGCACACGTGTTGCGTTCGAGGAACAGGACAGACATGCGAACAGTGCACGGCCACATGCAACAGCTACCCAAGGAGCATAGAAGATACATGTGCGTGTTTGGAGGTGTCAGGCAGGAAGTGGGCTCAAATCACACACGGCACACTGCGTCAAACTCGTAGGCAAGAGCAGCGGAATCTGTACAATAGGCATCCAAAATGTACGGGCTTGTGCCAAAATTTCAAAACCCCAACTGCTGTCATCTCTGGAGTGATCTTAGGACGATGGGACATGTTGCACTCGTACCTTCAGAACTAGATCCGTGCGTACTTCCCCATCCATATCAAGATATACACAGATGCGCTTTGACTGATGATACTGTGGAGTGGCCAGCAGCTAAGCACACAATAAACATCACTGGATTAAAAAACAATGGATGGGGCACAGGAGACCAGGAGAGAAAGAGGCAGAGGGAGAAAGCAGAGAGCATATCAGGCAAGTGATCAAACCTAGTATCACTTCCACTATGGCTGACTGCCTGCATCACATACACAGAGCCAGGTCAGTGGAATTGGAAGGTAATTTAGGTTGCTACGGTCAGTCATCTGAAGTACAATTTACTTGTTGCGAGGGGGGGGGGGGTGGCTAGGCCTCCGCGGAATATGCTCGTATTTTTACCGATAATTCCTTTGAGCATTGCTCAAAATTACGTCCGATAATTCCCGTAATTCCACCAATAATTCTCACAATAATGCTTTTTTTCTTCCCTTTTTTGCAGATACCGTACCGCTTACGGGGTTTTTGCCACTTGTACGGGCAAAAAAATCACGGTTCGCGTGAAACTCGGCTGGAAGCTTTTCTTTTTTTTCTCTTTTGAAATACCGGGCGATCAACTCATTCAGGATCACAAGCTTTTTGGTACAAATCAGGGTGTTAAAATGGAAAAAAATTGAAAAAAGGGGGGCATTGCTCAAATTTTACCGATTATTCCACAAAAATTGCCAATAATTCCCGTTTTAAAAATCACACCGATAATTCCCGAAATTATGCCGGCATATTCCGCGGAGGCCTAGGGGTGGCTCAGCGAAAATGTTTGAAAATTAGAGCCCAAATCATCATGATTCATGGGGCACCCGGAGCAAAAGTGGTACGGTCATCACCGTAGTGACCGTAGCATGTCCGACGCCCCTGTACAGAGCAGAAACGTTCCCAGCGGTTATGTTGCACATCATTGGCATACTGGTAAGGATGTATACACCACTTGGTGTGCTTAATGGTACCGGTTCTGGCATGACAAAAGGCCGAGACTACAAAATACTTGTACATGCATTGAGTAAGCATTGAGCAAATTCGGTATTCATCATAAATGTTCGAGGCGCCACCCTCTTTACTTTTATCTAGCAGCATGGTCTTGGCATGGATGTATAGTACCCCGGGACCATGCGAGCTGCACTAACCTCTGTATGCACGTATCAAATGGTTGTTGTCCCTTGCAGCCTTAGCCATGCTTAGGGAACTGGATGGAATTCCTCCCAACAAAAACAATGGACCGCTTGCTTGAAACCCATGGCATATTTCAGGCATTTTGCTGGAGAACAGCAGCACGCAATTAATTAAAACTGCGCACGCAAGTACGATTGGTCGTGTATAACGCGCGCATAGAAACAAAAAACTCGCCTAAAAGCATAACCGTGCTGTGCACTCCATCATTCGCCCTCTAGAGCGAATTAGCGGCTGGATAAATGGAAGAAAAAAAACAGTAGTATAATGCTGATGCCTCAGGAGCAGGTGGCAAGCTGATGCCTTTGCGTGCATGGTGGCATAGTATAACAGAGCAAGGTCCTGCCTACGGCTATCACCTGAACCCATCCAAGTCTGTTCTACTGGTGAAACCTGAGCATAATGATCGAGCACTGGAGATTTTCGCTCTCACAGCAGGTGACGTCCACATCGATGCTTGTGGGTACTCATACCTGGGTTCGGCTATTGGTACGACTGCATTTCTGGACAGCTTTGTGGAGCAGAAGGTAACATGGCTTGACCTGTTGGACAAGTTGTCCACCAATGCAGAAACGCAATCACAAGCTGCATATGTTGCGCTTACTCAAGGTCTCCAGGACAAGTGGTCTTTCCTTTGCCGCACCACACCGATGGCTGCAGCTGCTTTGGCGCCTGTGGAGAAGATGCTCAAGGAGAGGCTCATTCCTGCTATTACCGACCATATGGTAAACTCAGAGGAAAGGCCTTTACTAGCGCTTCCATGTTGCCATGGTGGGCTCGGGCCAGGCAATCCTATGGATCTCTCGTCCCAGCATGATGCATCACGTTGACTCAGTCCTTGCAGACCAACATCAAGCTGCAGACTATCGCGCTCGGCTCTGCAACCAGTCTCGGGCGCACTGCCGAGGCGGAGGTCAGGACACCAGCACGGAATGCTGTCAAAGCTCAAGCCTTACTGCTCTGCTTCACTCCGACGGAGACCAAGCAGTGAGTTGTTGACCTGGCTTCGGAGACGGGCTCCTCCAGCTGGTTAATCTGCAGGCCCTTGAAGCGCCATTGATTTGCCCTCTTCAACGCGAACAGTGTGCGTTTGTGGAAGCCACTTTACGGCAACCCATGCTCTGTCATGCTCCACCTGTGGGTACCCTACCATCCGGCACAACGAGATCCGGGATGTGACTGCTGGTCTACTGAAGCGTGTCGCCACAAACGTGTCTGTGGAACCCCATCTCGTTCCTCTGAGTGGGGAGCAGCTTCGCTACCACACCGCCATCCGCTACGACCAGGCTCGCTTGGACGTAGCGGCAAATAGAGTGTGTGTGTGTGTGTGGGGGGGGGGGGGGGGCAGGTCGAACACACCTTCTTTGATGTCCGGTTTTTCAACCCTTTTGCGCCTTCGAATCAGACCTCCTCCATTTCTGCCACCTATGTTGGCTACGAGAAAGCAAAGAAGATATCATAATAATTATTATGAAGAGAGGCTGCAGGAGATCGAGCATGCTTCCTTTGTCCCGTTGGTCTTCTCTACAACCGGTGGCATGGGCGAGCAATCTGCCTCGCTATACAAGCGTATTGCGTCGTTAATTGCTGAGAAAACCAGCGAACCGTATTTGGTTGTTATGGCATCCATCCGCTGCCGCCTTGGCTTCGCTTTGCTCAGAGCAAGTGTCATGTGCCAGCATGGTAGCCGCTCTGTTTTGCTGAGCACGCACGCACCTGTCTCTCCTTCTGCCTAACTAGTTGCTGCCGAAGCTGGCATTTCGCGTCGTCTGTAGTCATTAGTTGCTGCCGAAGCTGGCATTTCGCGTCGTCTGTAGTCATTAGTTGCTTGCGGTTTTCCTCGGTATGTTGTTGCTGTTTTTATTCGACTTCGCGATCCAAATGTCCGATGTTTATATTTGAGTACAAGTTGACACATCATGGTGCCCCTCCCCCCAACAAAAAAAAAGGATAATAGCAATCATGGTGACGCATGTATTTTATTTATTTATCGTCTCCACTTCATGGCACATAATAATACATAGCCAATACAAGAAAGGGAGGGTGAATCTAATCACGGAAAATAGCAATGTATGCTCGTCGTTCACGGTATACCGGTACGTTACTTTTTTTGGTTCACCCACATGTACCACATGGTCTTTATGGATGGTTGTACAAACTGACAATATTAAAAACTAACCTTTCGCTGAACAACAGTAGACTCCGCATCCCTCACTTCAGCTGTGAGGGCTTTGATACGGCTTTTTATTTCCTTCCGCAAAGCTTGCTTCGCAGCTCTTACTGTAGCCGCAGACATACTTCTTTCATCTAGTTTATCGGCGCGGACACCGCAACTCGTCAATCTCCTTCATATCAGTCAAGTCAGGAGGAAATTTAAAAAAAATCCGATGTCACAGTGCAGCGCAGCATGCATGATTTCCAGAAGTTGAGGAGGGAATCCCCCTGTAGGGAGTTTCCCGTGCAGTTTTCAAAGCAAGGGCTCGTGCAACCGCGGGAACTCCCATGCATGCACAGTATTGCACACATATCAAGAGAGTTGTCGAATGAAGTGAAATGAAAATAAGTGGTAGCTTCAAAATGTAAACTATGGCCAAGGCAAAGACCAAGAAAGCCACCACTAGTCCTGCAAAGTCTCGTTTGAAAGCTCCTTTACGCTCAGCCAAGGCGATCACCGCGAAAAGCAAAACACCTAGTGAGTTGGCCCTGACACGGCACGTGAAGCAAGGTGGGAAGGTATCTGCAACCTCACTCCTCAGCCCTTTGCCTACCAGGGAGCAGCCTGTGCGACAAGCTGAAAACGATGTGGAAGAGGTTTTCACCAGGTAAACTAACTTTGATACGTCCCTGAAATAGCGCTGTGCCCGTATACATTCACCCAGTGACCGGAATGATGTTTTATTTTTTCTGAGTGCTTGAAATACTTGTATGGAGAATGAACGTGGTACTCACGCCACACCACATCGCACCAGTTGTGGGTTCTAGTTGTTTTTGCATAACGAGCGTTTTAGTGACTTTCATCAGTGGATAATTTGTCACTGACAGGATTCTTGCACCAGCACAGTATATAATTATAGCAGTGCAAAGAAAAGGGGAGAGTCCAATCACCATAATGCAAAACGAAGATAATTATATTGTCATCAGGCGCTAAATAGCAGCATAGGTGTTATGGTGAAGCCAAAGATGAAGTGGGGTTATAGTAGTGTCTGTAATACGTGTGGCAAGGAAGGAAGCAAGGAACTGTAAAGTGTCACTTATGAACATCGTAACGTAATCAAATGAATGCAAGTCAGCGGGTGAATGCGTCAAATACCGTAAAATCCTGCCAGAGCCCCCCTACCTCCGCGGCCCTTCGAGTAGGTCCAGGTGGGGAGGGGCGGATGGGCGAATCCTACTTGCAGCATTCAGTACTACATGAAAAAGTACTCGCCCTGCAAACACTGTGCATGTGTCCTACACCGACCAAACGACAAGAGCAGGGAGTCGTAGAGACCAATCAAAACTCAGGGTTTGTGCTATCCCTAGTCAAGAGGGTGGGAACTGTTGCGTACATGTCCAACAAGGTCGAGCACGCATCTGCAGTGCGGTACGGCATCACACTTCACAGAGTCATACACTGGTTCTCACTTCCCTGACAAGTAGTGGTGAAATGAATGTCAAAACCTAGTAGCCGAATATTCTTTGGCTTAACGAACGAACGAACGAGTATTCTTTTGGTAACACAGATGACATCACATGCCCTCCTCTCAGTCATTTGATGGATAATGTCATTATTATTAGGTATGACAAACGGCAGTGCCGCTGACATAAAATGCACTGCCACATACGGCTACTTCGAAGTGCATACTGTAAACTAGGGGTGAAACGGTTCGGGTAAGGAACCGGTTTTGGAACCGCCAGCTGAAAAGAATCGGGTACCCGTTCTGTCAAATTTCGAACCGAAACTCGAAAAATCTCGTTCTTGTACAAATACATGTACACGTCACGTCTACTCAAGATTTTAATTGTCTTACCTTACGATCCCCACTCTTCCAAAGAGTTCTCTGGTCATTATCTTCTTCGCACTTGGACTCTCCGATGTCTCATTCTTGCTCGTAAAAATGTTTTTTTCTAAAAAATAATTGTCGCGAACGCATTTTGTCGGTCTGGAGAAAAGAGTGCATGGAACCGATACCCGGACCGTGGGAAACAATGCTGGCATTCGGGTACCCGAACATGAAAAACATGGAACCGTTTCACCCCTACTGTAAACCGTGAAATTATTGCGATGGTCTAATTTCTGCGAAATTCGCGACCGCGTGGAAATTGCGAAATTTAGACAGTGCGAAAAGGAGATCCATGAAAGGTTTAGCAAGAATGCCTTAGTAGCACATTCTGCAATCGCAAAATTAAAACCTCGCAAACCTGTCCGGATTCTGAAAACGCGAACTAAAAACGCCGCGAAAATTTCACGCTTTACAGTACATGTTATGTGGAACATTTACAGTCCAGTATGCACGTAAATGTGTACAAAGACACAGGCAGGCTGTGTGCACTGCACTGTACTGTGTTTGGCGTGCATGTATGTATACGCACTGCATTCGAAGTGACGTCACGAATACTCGAATGCGACTTAAAGAATATTCGAATGTGACCAACCGATCGAATATTCGAATATTCGTTTCACCACTTAATTATTGTTTTTACTGGGCGAATCGTTTTTATTCCAATCCAAATTTCCGCGCCGACTTTTTAACAAATTAGCAACAGCAACCATAAAAAAAGAAGGCATGGAGCAACAGCAAATGAAGGTACATGTATGTAAGCAAGAAACACCCAATTTCCTACAAAGAAGAAGAAAAGAAAGAGAAAAAGAGTGAATGAAGTCTTACACACTGAGAAGCATGAAATAGAAACCACTACAGAGTGATCAAAGAAACCCCACTCAAGATGATCAAACATGGATAAAGCACAGTCAGCACGTTTCCACAGACAATAAAAGCAAAACAGTCAGCAAACAACAAAACAACAACAACAAGAATTATTGTGTTCCTGCTTGAATAGTGAAGTAATAAATAAAGTCAGTGCATGTGAAAAGAACATTGACGATCACAGTCAGGTCAAAAGATGAGCACGGGCCCGGCACTCCATGACGAAGCTATGAGCGCCGCCACCAGCATGCCTCCTTAGGACGCACGGGCACCCCGAAGGCAGGTAATTTGCCACCGCACAAGGCACAGACTGATCCTCGAGCGCAATTGCCGCACAACAAGGGAATGCGGCAAGTCGCGATGACGATCATGTAATCTTGCAGCCAAAGTGCGCAGGAAAATGGTGGCCTCCGTACTACACATGCCATTTGTGGCAAAACACCAAGGGCGTGAATGAGCCGCGATCAACATGGTTTATCCGTAAGGCGTACTGGCGCTTCTTCGGACGCTCATGGTCAGCCAACTGGCTCATTACTTGTGATCGCGTGTGATAGGTTGTCATATCACGGCCACAGACGCACGATGAAGGCACACTATCAAGAGCCAAACCATAGCGCAGACACAAAGCGTCACGAAAGTCATTCTTGTTGAACATACTGCTTGGGGTTAAGACCATGGGCGGTGTACCCAGCCAGGTAGATACGCATATTATTGTTTTTACTGGGAAAGTGTGAGTTTCGTGATAAATAATTGTTTTTCGTTAACACCAGCTGGCGCCATCACACCATGCTGCGCTGTTGGCAGGCGCGTATGCTTCCATGTCGTCGCCGTAGTGACGGCGCCGTAGTGAGGACTGTTTCCGCCAATAGTACATCATGCATGTACTGTGTGTTGTTTATTCATCACCTACGTCCCCTAAGGAGCTCTGAGCAAAATAGAAGCTTTCTGAAGGATCTGTCATTCTGATCTATCTATATCTCAATGGAAGTGTGCCCACTGTGGTGGTGATGTGTAGCTGTGTACATCAGCAGAGGAGCTTGGTCTAGTGTGGAGGGCCATGCTGATTCAGTTAAATCCATGCTGTGGCCGAGTCGGTCGGAAAATCGTCTTTTTCCGTATTCTCATACAATGAGGTGACAGTCATAATTGTTGATCTTTGCTCTCTCATTTGCTGTGTGCAATGTGGCTGTGAAGGTTGCAGTGTGGGACAGTTCCCAAGTCCCTTCCATGCAGAGACTCTGAGTATGAGACAGTTTTGACATTCCTCGAGGGCAAGCTAGGAAGCTCCACTGGAGGGTAAGGAGCAGTGTGGCGTTCTACTTTCCATGGATATGTGCGAGAACATGTATCTGAGGTTTGCCGTGTTTGGTGGATCATAGGGATACACGTCCTGTGTGCAGCGTGTGAACTCCATTTTCTCGCTGCCGTGAGCTTTGATTATTTGTACAGTGGCACGATATCATATGTACTGTATGAGTATACTGTACGCCTGGAATGTGTTTAGGAGACAATGGTGTGGGTATGGCTGAATAGACCTGAAAGCATTCAGCTTCAATGACATGTGCTAACTTCCCTTTCTTTTGTCCATTTGGCTGTGTAACGCACAATCAAGTGGCTGTTGTTGCAATCCAGTTGGTCAGTTTTTGAGCGTAGAATTGCACTTCCACTGTGACATATTCTCAGATGTCTATACATCTCCGGAGTGCCGGGAACAGGCAAAACTGCCACCGTCCATGCTGCCATTACGGAACTCCAATCCTGGGTTGAAGAGGGTGATCTTGGCGAATTTCGATTCATTGAGATCAATGGCATGCGCCTCTCCGAGCCTAAGCAGGCGTACGTGCAGATTTGGAAGGTAAATGACTACACTCCTTTAATCCTGGAAGTCTGAATAGCTGTGATTGATGGTCCCGCATCATGGTTCTGCTGAGCCTACTAGTCTCTCTCTCTCTCTCTCTCTCTCTCTCTCTCTCTCTCTCTCTCTCTCTCTCTCTCTCTCTCTCTCTCTCTCTCTCTCTCTCTCTCTCTCTCTCTCGCTCTCGCTCTCGCTCTCTCTCTCTCTCTCTCTCTCTCTCTCTCTCTCTCTCTCTCTCTCTCTCTCTCTCTCTCATACACACAAACACACACACACACACACACACACACACACACACACACACACACACACACACACACACATGTTGAGGCCATATTCACACATCAGATGTGCATAGTTCAAGGTTGTGGGCTAGATTTGCATGCAGCATATCCACATTATTGACAGACCGTATGGTGTGTTTGTTGTACATTTCTTGGCGTGTGTATTGTGGAGTAGGCTTAATGCCGAATGTGATTCATTAATTGCTTCCTGGTTTTCTATCTGTGACCAGGAGTTGAACGGCACCGACAAACGTGTGACTGCGGAGCATGCGGCGCAGCTATTGGATAAGTTCTTCGGTAATCCCTCGACAATAAAATCTCCAATTGTCTTGCTTGTTGATGAGGTAGGTGCTGTCGTTTGCTGGTGACAGTAACTGGATGTTCGCTTTTGCCTTTGCTTTGCATAGTGCTACATAATTATAGTTTTGTACATATGCTAGTGCAGCCCATTTTCTCTTGTTTATGATGGCAGCTGTGAGTCTGTCTTAGTGCTTTGTTTGTTTTTCGACAAAAACCCTCAATTATTGGTCTTTGGTGTAAATCTTCGTTGTTCTTTGGAAATTGTCTGAATGTTGTTCATCAATTTATCTTCGTTGTGTTTTAATTCTCCCCAGCTGGATTTGCTGTTGACGCGCAAGCAGACGGTTCTCTACCAACTGTTTGACTGGCCAAGCAAACCTGGCTGTCCACTGGTAGTGCTGGCGATTGCCAACACCATGGACTTGCCGGAAAGAGCTATGATGGGCCGTGTTTCTAGCCGTCTGGTAAGCCCATGCCAAAGAGCAAGATTGCAAACTGCAAAGCGAGAATGCACATCTTTGTTTTCATCGCTTGTTGAGATTGTGAATGCCGTGATCCGGGACAGGCTTGCACTGCATCAATCGCTACCTCTGATCTGTCGCTGGAGGTTTGCTCCGCCTTGACATATTTCCAAAATATTTTAAAAGCAATAGACCAGTTGCGTTTTGATCATCACCTAGTAGTACCTACCTATTTCGATCGCATGCTCAGGTCTATATAGGTACACTTGCTAGCTTATATGCCGTCAGGGACCTGTGCATGTCCCAGGACTGTTTTTACGAGTGGATACGTAGAACCTACCAACCAGCCAGCCCGTTCTGGTATTCCTGGTCTGTTGACACTCCTGTATTAGTATCTCACTGACTGTTATCAGGAACTGTTTGCGATGTTAAAAAGCGGTTACTAGTACTTGCTAGTGAGTTCCGACTTGTGCTAAAATGTTCTAGTTGTATGGGTGTTTTACGCTCAACTTTGGCAATGCGTCTTGTTTTCCGAGGGCTTTCAACGTTTCACGTGCTATTGTTTTATACTCAACTTTGGCAATGTGTCTTCAGGGTCTTCAACGTCTCACGTTCCAGCCTTACTCATACCAGCAACTTAAGGAGATTGTCTTATCACGCGTTGAAGACCTATGTGTGTTTGAGAAAGAAGCTGTGGAGTTTGTAGCTCGAAAGGTATGTTGATGTACTTTTGGTATTGTTTTTTAACGGCTAGATGATAACTCCCGCCCAGGAAAACCCTACTCCTTTCACATCACTGAGTATTATACTTGAAGTAGAAAAATTGTAATAAAGCAATAAAAAGAACTAACTCTGCCGTAACCATCATGCATCAACGAAGTCAAATGTTTTCCATAATTGATTTTCATGTCACTATCATCAGTGGAATATTCGTTGATGCATGATGGTTACGGCAGAGTTAGTTCTTTTTATTGCTTTATTAAAATTGTTGTCTCCACGGCGTTTATTCATAGAATAATTTGTAGCAGAGAGTTTTACTGAGGTGCGAGACAGGTTTGTCACACATTTGTCATAGGTTTAAACTCTCTCTCTCTCCCTCTCTCTCTCTCTCTCTCTCTCTCTCTCTCTCTCTCTCTCTCTCTCTCTCTCTCTCTCTCTCTCTCTCTCTCTCTCTCTCTCTCTCTCCCTCTCTCTCTCTCTCTCTCTCTCTCTCTCTTTCTCTCTCTCTCTGTCTCTCTCTCTCTCTCTCTGTCTCTCTGTCTCTCTCTTATAGAGGTCTCAGTCCTCATTTGTTAGACTTATCTCTTGACATTTGACAGCGAGAATTCGTTAAAATTTCACCTGCTCCCAAACAAAAATCCGGAGCTCGTTAACTTTAATTAATATCCATCTCTATCTCCTTCCTTCGTGCTATTCATTACAGCATTGTCATTGTGTGTGTGTGTGTGGATGCGTGTGTGCTTGTGCGTGTGTTTGAACAGGTGGCTGGTGTGTCTGGCGATGCACGCCGTGCTCTAAGTATCTGTCTGCTGGCTGTGGAACTGATGAACAAGAAAAAGAAGGCAGACGAAGGTAATGGTACAAAGGTGGTCACAATGGGGTTGGTCAATGAAGCACTCAAGGCTATCACGTCGTCTCCCAAACTGATTGCAATCAGGTAATTATCCGCTTTCTACAATTATGCTGTATTGCATTGGCTCTCAAGAAAATCTGCTGTGTTCACGGCTTGTGGCCATGTGTTGCGTGTGCGTAAAAAATACGTTAACACATAAGGCACATGCTTTGCTCCCAACCAAATTCTCACGCGCTCATTGTTTTCAGAAGTCCACTTTTCCTGAGTTCAGTTCTTGCTGTGTCTGCACGGGCAGTGGATTTCTTTCTCAACTTTCTCAACTCAAGCCAAGAAGGCACTATTATTTGTATTGGATGTTTTAAAGCTTCTTTGGAGACAAAAATGCTGGAACGGTAAGAAAGAGTACAAACTTCAGGTTCTACAACACCAACGTTTTGAAAACATTTCACAAGTAAACTGTTGAGCCTTCTCCTCAGGTAAAGAACAGAGAAATAGGAACAATGAGTTTAAGTACAGCAGAGGTGTGTTGTTGGTGTTGAAGAACCTGACGTTTGTGCTCTTTCTTGTTGAACGTTAAACTGAACCAACTCTTCTAGAATGATTAATTCCCAGTCAGCCCTTGACACTGTTTGAATTGTGTAGAACGTGATTTTGTGGTTGGAAAGGAGTTTCCTTTTTACCGTGTTCTTTTGCTTCCAACAGCAATGCATCCTTCTTCGAGAAGCTCTTTCTCCAGGCAATAGTTACAGAATTCAAGAGGTGTGGCATTGAAGAAACATCATTCAGCGATGTAAGTGCATCTACTGGCTTGAATAGAAGCCTAGCCTTGACATTAGCTTCTACATGAATAAGCCTGGTTTATATGCGCGACATTTAATACGGTATTCATAAGTTTTAGGGACTGAGCAGGGAAAAATGAAGAAAAATAAACTTGCATTTGGTGCACTCACATTACTGTGGACATATGTTGTGGACTTGTAGTTACTAGTAATTTTGATGATGGGGCGTAGAAATACGTCTGTCTTTGATGTGTCCGATGAGTGACAAGTACTTGTAAACTTTGCAAGGTTTGTATAGAGATTACAGTCAACTTTGCGTATAACGACACTCGGCGGGGCATCAGAAAGGTGTCTTTATACCCGAAGTCTCATTATTATCAAGAGTCCATAAACAAGAGTATGCAACTGTGATCTCTTTTCTATGGGCCAGATGCGCGGCGCGCTGCCTTCATTACATCATTCAGCTGCAGTCCGCGCACTGCGGAAAACCAAATACCGCACTTTCCCTCCAGTTTGCAGTGAACTTTCGTACGGAACTGGAGTTCACGCACCAGAATTCAGAGATTGTGTAGGTACTGGAACGAATCGAGCAAAAACGGATGGGCTCGTGCGAGAAATTGAGAGTTTGAATGCATGCTTTCAGAGCGTGATGAAGGCAAGTTACGTAATGAAGGCAGCGCACCGCGCACTGACCCATAACCACAGTTGCATACTCTTGTTTATGCACTCTTGTTATTGTGTATTACAGTTAGATGGGACTTTGCTCTGGGCATGGGAATTCTGTCGTTATTCGCGAATTGTCATTATATCCGCAGTCGTTATTAGCGAAGTTGACTGTATGTGAGTGACATTATTGCCGCATACTAGGGGTGAAACGAGTATCTATTTTGACCAACCGATCACTCGTTCATAATATTCGATCGAGTATCCGATTATTTCGAGTATTTTATCAAAATTCAAAAGCGCTAGATTTGCAAGTTCTCGACCAATTCGGAAGAAATTATCTGTGAACATAGAACAAAAGTCGCCAACGTCTTGTACAGAGTGTAAAGTAACAATTTTCATCAGTACTTTCATATCTCAGAACGTTACTTGCCGTGGTGAACCGTCCAAGTCTTAAAAAAACTGACTCAAAGCCATGAATAACGCATGCATACCAGTGGACCAGCGGTACAACAAAAGTTTAAAAAAAATACAATGCCAATCCTAAAAAAAATATTTAAAAAAAACGATCGAGTGCAAAATTTCGAATACTCGCTCGTTTGAAATTTTCGAACGAATACTCGAATATTCGAACTAATCGTTTCACCCCTACCGCATACGCTTGGTTTTGAGTGGCAAGCCCGTGCTTGCGGTGCCGCACCATACACATCACCTCGAATGATGACGGTTGCTACTGTTTGCTTTGCGTTTCCAAACTTTCAGGTACTGTCAACGCTAACTTTGATATGCCAGACACAAGGTAACCAATCACCATTGCAACGACCCCGCAGCTTCACTTGTTCGTGAATTGCGTTACCATTTCGTTGTGTTGACATTGATGATGACAATGACTCTGCGGACGGATAAGTCTGCACACTGTGTCTGTCATTTTTCCCCGGTCACCTTTCACATGGCTATATGTCCATGGTACACTCATGCCTCTATTATCCGGACACCGAAATTATGGGCTTTTCGGTCTACTGGGCACCCTTCAGGCGAGTTTTAGTAGAGATATTACTACTCTTTTGTTGCTTTTTCCGTGGAAATAGTGACATCACATGCCATATCTCTGGCCTTTCCCCATCAAAACGTACCTGTATGTGATTCAGAGTTACGGACATTTCAAAGTTACTGGCAGTGTCCGGTCCCGGACCGCCCGGATAAACGAGGTATGAGTGTACAAGTACTTTTTCTACTGGAAGTAGTGCATGGTGTTAGTGCAGCTGTAGTACATGTGCACGTATTCACAACCAGTCTTCGCAATGCCTTTGGCGGTGGAATTGAAGCAGAACCCATACATACTTGAACAAAGACCGTATGATTCTCCTGGGCGTTCGAAGAAGTCTCTAGGCTTTTTCTTCCTCTACGGAGTAGTATGAAAAACCCTACACACACCATCCTCATATGGGTTATTCGTGTAAAGAAGTGGCTGCAGTGGAGCTTGCGCACATCAAGACATGTTCTACAGAGCAGTGCTTCAAGTACTGTGGCACTCACTTAGTGTGTACCCGGGAAAGACGTACACCTGGTTCAGTGCAGTCCTTTTTCGTCGCACGGATTTTCCTGCCATGACCGCATACCAGTATGCAAATGTGTACGGGCACAACGTACTCTGATAGCACGTTCAACTCGTGTAACGTTATGACGGATTTTTCAGCATGTCCCGATCGAGCCGGCCTCGCACACTACTAAATACTAGTACTATGTTGGTGTTTTCGTACACCTGTACACATCGCAGGTTCGCTTGAAGCCCAGTTCACATTCGTCGGGGCGCGACGGTCATGACGCCAATTGACGGCGTCCAATGTGAACGCTTGAAACGGAAATGCAAACGTACTACCGTACAAGTCGGAAAGCGACGGAATTAATCGGAAGAGTTGAGTCCTGGTGGTGACAGTCCATTTTTTCTTCAGACGTTTCCCGTTTGCATCTTTCCCTCAAACCAATGAATAGAGTTGAACCTTTTCACCTTTTCATACCGCATGCGGAACGCAGGCTTACAAAATGGCTGCATTTCGAGTGTGAACTGAGACAGCGTCGTGCAGCAACTAGCAATTTTCTGAATTTCGACACTATGCTTCCCATGATAACTCACCGAATGGCTCACACGGCCATGAGTTGAATTTTAGCAAGCTAAGATGATCTCATGTCACTTGCTGTATTTTGGGATAGTCAACAAATGTGACAGTTGAGCTGTTTTATCTCTTTCTGGGGATATTACTAGAATGGCACAACTTTCATTGCTACTTTTTTTGGTCTTCATGGCAAACCGGTTTTGTGAATGTGATTCTGCTTCACTTGAGTATAAATCATGTGAAAGAAGTCCCAAAAATCAAGAAATTAAAGGGGAAGTATACCCTAAAATCAAATTTTCACCAGTTGTAGTCTTCTGGGTGCTGAGTCGAATGGTCTTGGTCCGAGGAAGCTGCGACGCTCCCTTCCTACTTGAATCCCAATCGAACTCGCGCACTTCCACCGAAACTGGGTGACTGCGCCCTACTAGATGGGGATTTGTATGCAAAATGTCACTAAAAGCGCCATTTCGTTCTTATAAAAGCACGGATGACCGCGATTGGCCCATATGTTGTAGTCTTTTGGACGCTGAGTCGACTGGTTTTGGTCCGAAAAGGCTGCGATGCAGCGTTCCTCCTTTATTCCCAATCGAACATGGTTGAAGAAGTGGTCACGTGCTCCTGGGTGCCCAAATCACCTGGTCACCGCGCCAGCAGGTGACAACTTTCACACCAAGGTTCAACTCGAGTTCAACTCGAGTGACAGGACTGCACCCAAAAAAGGTCAAACAGGCTAGTAAGTTGTACCCTGCAGGCACGGTGACCAGGTGACTGGTGTACGCAGGAGCACGTGACCGCTTGTTCAACCATGTTCGATTGGGAATAAAGGAGGAACGCTGCATCGCAGCCTTTTCGGACCAAAACCAGTCGACTCAGCGTCCAAAAGACTACAACATATGGGCCAATCGCGGTCATCCGTGCTTTTATAAGAACGAAATGGCGTTTTTAGTGACATTTTGCATACAAATCCCCATCTAGTAGGGCGCAGTCACCCAGTTTCGGTGGAAGTGCGCGAGTTCGATTGGGATTCAAGTAGGAAGGGAGCGTCGCAGCTTCCTCGGACCAAGACCATTCGACTCAGCACCCAGAAGACTACAGATGGTGAAAATTTGATTTTAGGGTATACTTCCCCTTTAAGCCCGAAAGTGAACCCGTCTCGGGCCGTGCCTTATGACTCGCGCCGATCGACATTAAACATCCCAGCAGCTACTTCCTGTCGCATCGTACGAATTGTACAGCTCGCCCCAGCCTTGCCGACAGGCTCTTTCGTCCCGTGCCGTCAGCGTTACATTGAATGTGAACCAGGCTTGACAGGTACTTCAGTACGTTGACAGTGCGGAGAAGGTTGTACGCAGCGCAGGCCGCCTGGTTTGGTGACACTAACCCCGTATATTTCTGAGTGCAACACATAATTTTGAGTATTTAGACACACATGTACTGCACATGTATTGCGTATTGATGGCAGGACTCGACTTTGGATAAGAAATACAGCGGATAGTAAGTACTGTTTTTCCACTTCCCAAGGTCTTGAGTTTCACTGTAATAAAAATCATTTTGGTCCTCTGTGGCACTTACCGAATGTCGCGTATAAAAGCAGGTACAGGTGAAATCCTGATAATTCGAATATGGCTTAATTAGAACATACTGCTTAATTAGAAGTTTCTTCCGGGACCGATTTCTGTCAATACGATTTCCACATATACATTTCTGATAATTAGAACCTCGAAATGGGTATGTCCGGTTAATTAGAAGTCCCACGGAATCCACTTACATAGAAATGTGTGGGATTTGTGCTGATAATTCGAAGTTAGCCAACCATATTAGAAGTTCGCTTTATTTTCTGCAAATCAGTTTGGTTTGCATGCACAGGCGGTTCAGTGTCCACTAATCTGTGTCTAAGCTCAGACTAAGGTGCGTAGTGCAATTTGTATTCGATATTTCTGAAGACTGTATTATTGTACCACAAGGAGCGTAACGATTCCACAAAAGGCGATCGTTCAAAGCAGATACCAACAAAGAGCAAACTAAACTCAAAACCAAAACCAAAACAACAACTGCACCAGCAAGCTCTTTCCTTGCACTAACTACAAATACATCAAAACCAAGCAGCAAAATGCAAATCCGCACGCATGTTTGCCGGAACTGAACCTCCGTAGCGCAGCTGATCATTGTGGCTGCACGGGACGACCTTCCCGCCACAGTAGGGCAAAGAGCTATGCATGGAACTAGCAATAAATGCATGCAGCACACCAGCAAGCTGTCCTTACGCAGACGTCTAGTGTAGCGTGTGCAAGGATGAATAGCATGAGAAACATGATATGACACACGACTCCTATGATGCATGTAATGTATACAACACAATTCTGCGTGTCATGCGAGCATTTTGACATGCATAATGTGTTGTGGGTACATGTTTGGATAATTAGAATGTCCGGATAATTAGAAGTTTTTCCGCGGCATTTTGGTGTTCGAATTATCAGGATTTCACCTGTATATAAGCCGGGTTTGAGCCATGCTTCTATTCAAGTTATGCTTCTTTAAAACATGCTGCTACGTCAACATCGTCAGTGTACACTGTGCAGTGTGTACTGTCACGCATGTACTGTGCAAGTACTTGCATGAGTACTTTGCAGAGTGTGGCTTCTATTCTAGTCGTGCTTCTGTGTCACGGCGTGCTTCGAAAAATCAGCTTCTATTGGAGTCATGCGTCTATGCAGGTCGTGCTTTTATATTATACGCGACACTACGGTGCACATGTCCTTCCCTGCTGAACCATCGTGCAGCCTAGTGCACAGTACACTCCACGCATTCCGTCGCTGTACAGGAGCAGACGGAGCCAGATCACCAGTGCTTTGCAGTGATATCAGTATAAAATAATTTGTTGATGCCATCTTCATTTGGTCCGTCCGTTAGTAGTAGTTCTTAGTAGTAGGAGGTTCTTTTTTTGCTGTCTGCAAGCGTCGTGTGGTCCCCGTCAGTTGGAGAAACCTACTACTAGTGATATCAGTTCTGTGCTCAAGTCTGTCCCTCCAGGAATCTGCGATTCCGCGGCCGCGGTAAAATCCGCGGAATTCATGTTTTTTTAATATCCCGCGGAATTCACAGTTTTCACCGCAGAATCGTGAAAAATCACGGTTTGGGGGCAATGCGAGCACGCGCTTCATATTCATGCACATGCACATGCACAGTGCAGTGTCCTGTCGCTATTTTGTTGCATTCAAACTGTACCAGTTTTCTTCGTTGCTGTATTGTCTATTGAGCCTATCGTGTGTTTTCGACCACTAAATTTTTTATTGATACTTGTACATAGCATATAGCCATGTCTTTTCGCCGGTGCAGCGCCGCAGAAATACCGCAGTATTGCCGCAGAATTCACGCTATCCGCCGCATAATGTAGCGATTTGTGCCGCAGAATTTCAACTTTCTGTCCGCGCATTCCTGGAGGGACAGTCAAGTGCATAGTCCAGAGGTCCATATCTTGTACTGGTCTGTCTGAGAAGACATTAGCTAACTTTTTTCATCACATCACTTGCTATGGATAGTGCCATAATGATGCCATGTTCTTCTTGTGTGTTTTTCTTCTGGCCAGGAATAAAACGCATTCCTTCAACACCATCTGTGCGATCCATCTGCGCCAGCCTTGCTACATCTCGCCTGATTCACCTGGACGCGTCGACTCGTGACCTTCAGCAGCGTATACAGCTTAACATGAGCCAGGATGACGTCTCACTGGCTCTACGCGACTTATTCTGACGTGCGCCGCCGCCGCCACGTACCTGTACTACATGTGCTACCACTGGATATGCTATTGGTCCTGTTGAAGTGCTGCGTCTGTGACAGGCGTTCTATGCTACCTTGGGCTGGCGATGTGCTGCGACTGGAACCGGCTTTAGGCAGGGGGCAGAATCATGACCTAGTGCTTCAAACTGCACGTTGTCATCGGTTCTGTCTCAAAAATACAAAACCGTGTACATAACAAGAGAGATCTTTGAAGTAGTTCTCGCTCATCATTTACCGTGCAATGCGTGAGTGGTTGAGTACAAAACATTTTTTAAATATTTCCACCTTGCTCTTTTTTTCTCTTTTTTTGTACATTTGAATACGTGCCTCTTGTGCAGTCATGTACGTTTATCATATTTCGTTGCAATAGCAATGGTGCTCTCCGATAATTGACAATTCACGTGGAACGAGTAGAGTGGCAAGCGACAACAGTCACAACACTAACCAGACCCCCCCCCCCCCCGTGTGTGCAACTGAGCTCACTTTCCACAGGTCATAAGGTTAGTGAGTTAAGTCGAGACCATCAGTCTGTGATGTACACATCGACAGCTGTCGCACCGGCGTGCTCCAGGAGGTGCTTTTGTAATCTGCTACATGTACTACCGTCTCAGTTTTGCTTGGGATGGAGCAGCATTCAGGATGGCAGCGGGAAGAGCATTCCACGTGGACAGCAGGTCAAATGGGAAGGATCGATATTGGAAGTCAGGACTTGCTGCAGGAGGGGATTCCACAACCGGAAGGCGTGGGAGTGCTGCACTTGATGCTGGTGGTGGGTTCCGGGGTGGGCGGGCTCCCGAGACTTGCCGACACACTGACAAGCTTGGGAGCATGGTCCCAGAGTCAATGCTGTACATGCACTTGTACTGGATGCGGTCAAGCTTGGCGAGGTTGGACAGGGCTGTGCCTTGCCAGACCCGGAGTGGGCATATTCCATAGTGGGGTGGATGAAGCATTTGTATGAACTAAGGTGGCCGCTGTCGTCAAGTACTGGGCACATCTTTTTGAAGAAGCCAGGACACTAGCTGGCCCTGACTGCAACCTGGTGAAGGTGGTTACGGAGCAACAGTTTGCGGTCGAATTCACGCTGAGGAGCTTGACATCGGTTTCCTCTCTGATTATGGGTGTGAGTTAAAAGTGGCAGGGGACATGACATTGACACGGATCAGACAGTACAGTGCTGTGTCATCTGCATACTGACGATGCTAGCTGGCACTCTGGGGAGGCACGATCAGAGATGTCGTTGATATAAAGAAGGAACAGCATTGGTCCGACGATACTTCCCCACCAATGCCGGATAGTCCAGCTTTGTGTAGTATGCCACTACAAGTAGCTACGTCGACTGCAACAAGTCGAGCGATTCCACAGAGACCCACTGTGCCGGACCGCTCATGATGGAGGGCGGAAGCCCAACTGCCTGGGAGTCTGGGACAGAGGATCATGTGACGTTCCAGGTGGCTGACAACTGTTTGCCTGTTCATGATGGTCTCCACAATCTTGGACCGTGACCGTGGCAATGCTCAGAAGGGAGACTGGTCGGTAATTTTCATGTTGCTCCAACCAACGGCAAAATTTAAAGACACCGTGCACGTGGTGTACAATACATGGAAACATGCTGTACACTACATGGGTGCGAATAAGACTAGATTTAGACAGTACACTTCCGAGCTAGAACCCGCACTTCATTACCGCCTTAGCCAATACAATGTCATGTACATTGCTAGTTCGTCCAGTACAGTAGACCTGTGTGCCGTACGCGGTCGAACACCTTGCTCATATCCGCAAAGACTACTCCACACTGGTCGGTGGTCACCGTTGTCAATACACGCTCTATTCCACCTCACGGTCTGTGCAAAGCGGCAGAGCATCCTCACCGGCAGCTATGATGCGAGCTGTGTGCGAATTGTTCGGCTGGTATGGCAGACAAGTCCGGATTCTGGGTGAAATATGAAGTGACATGTTTGTGAACAACCTTCTCTAAGATCTTGGCCGCCACAGGTAGCAGCGAGATCGGTCTGTAATCGGTGGGTGCGGTCTTATCACCAGATTTCATTACCAGCAGACATGGGCATATTTGTAGGCAGCAGGAAAAACGCCACTGCAGACAGAGTTTATCTCACATCCTTTTAAAAGCACTTAACCTCCCCCCCCCCCCGCACACACACACACACACACTAGAATAAAGAGGGCCTGTAGTGTAGCTAGGTAGTATGCACGAGTACTAGTAGACTACTCTCGGCATCATGTCAGCGCGCAGCACTAGGCTTACTTACTTCCCTACAAGTACAATAAGACTTAGTACAACGTAAGCCGGAGTCAGCGAGGATTGCTACAACTAACTTGTAGTTTGCTACATCATACATGACCTTCAAGTTTTGTACTCCTTTTTGTAGCAAACCACTCTCTCACAGTCTCAGTCCCTGGCCTGCCCTGGTCTACTCCTTGCTTGGCATGTTCTATGTACTTCGAAGTACCTACGATTACTACCAAGAGTAGATAAACAAGAGTGTGCAACTCCGGATCTCTCCTGCACAATCTGCACATACGGCGGAATTTTTTGTTTACGTCACCTTTTTTCAGAGAAACGCGGCTTTGCCGCAGAGCAGTGTGAGAGCACGTGCTGGGCACCGACCTTGTAGTATAAAGCCCAGCCAAGTGCACGGGGGAAAACTCTCCAAAACAGTCCGTGCGCCAAGGGGTACTCAAGGGCTGATTTTATTTGCAACCGCGGGAAACGAAGTCACCAAGACGCCTTCATTTGAGGCTTTTGGAATTGGAGAATTTATTGAATTTAGGTATGGCTCTCGTCCCTTCTAGAGAACTAACCAAGACCCTGTGGGGGCAGAAGGAGACTTCTTTGGCTCCGTGAATACACTAGCTATGCGGTGGTCTAGTTAGTTTGAGTGTGTGGTTCGTATTCAAAGTGTTCCAAGCCGCAGTTCACTCGAAGGTCATCGTGGATACGTCTGCACTTGAAAATCAAGGCTGGAAAGGACTGCCTGGTGTGTCCGAACGGTATGTTTTGCACTGAAGGCATTTTTTGTATGAATTGTTGAAAGTGTCTACTTGTTCGAAATGCAAAAGACATGGTCGTAGATCCTTGGCCCACAACACCCCACTAAATAAACTATGACCTGTCGTGAAATTATGTGAAATTGATCAACACAATCATACACAAATTATCCTATGGCAAAGCACTGCAAATGCAAATAATAGCATCCCTTTACCTAGGTCATGTTTGTAGGGCCTTATGCCACATCTTTGCATGATTTCCTCATGCAAATCGTGTGCCTAGCTTCGAAAACACATTGCGCTAAGTGCCGAATATATACCTGTGAATCAGAACAACAGCACTCACTATTGCTTTCATGAGTGGTAATGGTCAGCTGAAAGGAAACTTCTATCCATCAACTCATAAGTAAAGTAATGACTAATCTCCTTGCTGCGCATGTGGTTCCTTCGTATTTACATGTACCGTAAAGTACCGCCAGAGCGCCCCACCATCTCGTCCTTTCGGGGTCGTATTGTGGGGGTGGTCTCCGGTCTGTAGGTTATACGACACGATTTTTGTACACATATTGCACGTTCTGCAGACAATCTGTGCCTTCGAGCGGACACGAGCTCCACACAAAAACCTGCTTAGTGTGACCTTAGTACACTAAGTTGCTCACACCGTACGAACTTCGTTGCACTCTGCCACACGATTTTCCTTTCCCTGGCTGTATTATATAAATCTGTCGCAGCAAAATCAAGGTGGGGCGCTCTCGCGGTACTTTACGGTATGTGCGCCTCTCTGTGTTCGGTGAATGATTTTGAATATTTGCGCACGACTTCAGGATAGTGCACATTGTATGCATGTACCTGCATATGTAATCCTTTCATGATTTAAAAATTAGGAGCCGTGCTTCTCATCACCGTGGACAAGTAAATGTCGGCCAATTACGTAGCGTTTGGAGATTTGCACAAGTACAGTTGCGTGTCGATTATGCGGCAACCGCGGAATAAAATGAATATTCTGGACGACTGAAGCTACAAAGCCATCTTGTGTTAACTTAACAGATAAAAAAGACAGTACTTCGAAGTACCTGTATTTATCACTAGTATTACCCTGAGACAGTCGTGCTCATCTCTAGAGACTGGCTTGTATTTAACTCTACGTAATGGCAACTTTCATGATGCTGACTGTCTACATTTACTTGAAGTAGGACTATAAATACTAAATATAAGGTCTATAAGCTGTCAGTGCGGTGCTGTTGGATACCCGACATGCCATGTGACTGACCGCCAGATACTAGTAAACGACATGCGATTGTACCGGTCACAGTGTAGCTGGGTTTTCACGAAAATTTGAAACTTATACGATTGTGAGAAAAGTTCAGAAACCACACTTACACATACACACGCACGCACACACACACACACACATGCGCGCACGCGCGCGTGTGCACACACACACACACCTGTCCTGTTCTGTTGAGCCACTACCACAACTTAGCACAAGGATCGCATCGGCCCCAAAGGGGCAGTAGAGCGAAAGTGAGAGGTGTTGGCTTCGAGTTCACCTATCTCTACGGTGAACGCAACCTCGATCGAAAGTCATGCCAAACGGATTTATCTACCACACGCGCGCGCGTGCGCGTATACAAAACGGAGGAAGGATTACTTACTCTCCCTGTATGATGTTTCTGTTGTATTCGTGAACAATGTCATTGATGTTTCCCATGCATGTTTTTGAATATGCGAGCATAACTTCCAACATCAAGCACATTCTTGCTTCTCATCAGCATGTACAAGTTTATGTTGGGCAGTTATGTAGCGTTTGTTTTACCGGCTGCGTTTGTTTTACCGGCTGCATTTGTTGGTGCTTGCAGGTCATTGGCATGCTGTCTGTTTCACAGAAGCTCGTGTAACAGGTTCACCGTACAGCTATGAATGCAATGTAGCGTGTTGAAGCCACTTCGGTATGACGTGATGCCTAATTTCCTGGTTGTACCAAAATTGCGAGTATGCAAGTGATCGTCAAGCCTGCCCCTGTACAGTAGCCGTCTTGCCTTGTTACGCCTGGTTCTGACTCTGCGTTCTCGTTTACTCCATGCAATGTTACAAGGAATACTGCTCCCTTCTCAAGCAATTCATTGGCAACAAAACGCTCGGCTATGCCCTGTAACTTTGCTGTGCGGTTTGTGCTTTGTCAATGTTGTGTACCAGTTCATGATCTGTGCTTGCTGGTCTGTTTGTTTTCTCTCGCACAATTGAGGCGCTGTAGCACAGTGTACAGTGTCGATCATCCTGCCCAGGCTCTGATTTCACGTACCACAGTACGGTTTCTCTTGTTGCTCACTGTAATGTGCATGATACAAGCTCCTTGGTACTCCATAATCACCTGGTGCTGTTGCTGCCATTGTTGGACCCTGCTGATATCCTTCTCGCAATGCCCGAACGTTGTTCCAACAAATGCACAACTCGCTCTTAGTTGTCACATTCGGTTTGGTCTCGTTCCAGTCTTTCGAATTGAGTGAGTGCGTAAACTTGTATGAAGTGGTGGAGCAAAAGCCGTGTGCCGGCAAACATTCAATGTCCGGGTGTAATGACGCACCAAGGTCCCGGGACTTGCGTCCAATTCCTGAGTGATTTTTGTGTGCCTAGCCTCTAGGTATCATACCATATTTGTTTGGTTCAACCGTTTTGGATGCCCACTGCAATACCATTCACTGTATTATGTGTGTATGTTATCCAAGAAATCTCCCATATTTTTGGGTGGACAAACCTCGCCATAAGTCAGTAACCTGGCATTTTGCACTAACAGAACTCCTAGGATATCAGCGCCGTCTCAGTACCTGGGGACAGTTGTAAAGAAAAAGAAAAAATATCCTTGGCCCACAATGCCCCACTAAATAATCCGAAGGGTGTCGCGAAGACGACAATTTCCTTACCTTTCTTTCGTGGACGAAAAAAGACACTTCGCTTCGTCCGTTGCGCATGAAACGAAACATGAGGGTAGTGTTTATCAATTAGAATAGGTATCATGCACGAAGGAATGGCGAAAAGGTACTATGCTCGAGCGCTGGTCGTCGTCTTGTTTGTCAATTTTGAGTCCCATTGAGAATTTTCTTCTCCAGACCTCTCAAATTTCCCGCGGTTGCAAAATAAAAGTGCAACTTCTAGACGACTTTTTTGAATTTGGCGCACGGACTGAAAAGGCTCGCAGCGCGTGCGTCGTCGAAAAGATTACGTCAACAAAAAATTCCGCCGTGGGCCAACCCATCCGCGAGTTGCACACTCTTGTTTATCTACTCTTTTTTTGTAGTACCGGTATGTAGAATGATAATGATTATGTAAATCTACCAGGAATAGTAATAATTATTTTACTACTCCCTGGGTCCCAATAGATCTACTCTTGATCTCCGTGGTGATCTCCGTGGTGATGACCCCAACTCGCGTTCAAGGTCGTTCATGTGGCACCGGTACTTGGACTGTACCCCTGCACTTTCGACCTGCAGTTCGGATACTCCTAGTCCTAATCCTAGCGCGGGAACCGATGGCCACGTCAGCTGCATCTTCAGCTAGCTCAGCCTCGGCCCTGTTGCCTATGCCGAGGTCAAATGTTGCTTTCAGTTAGTCCTCGTCTGCATCTTGTGCAGTCATGTCGACTATTTGTCTTTTGATCTGAGGCACCCCTAGGATTTCTAGTGTTCTCTGGTCAAAGCCAGAGTACAGGATCTACCAGCATTTCACGGCTCTTCCCTCGACATTTCAAGCATTTATCGGTCGAGCCGCGGATTCCGCAGCAGCAAGCATGGCTGTGACGAAGAGGGCAACGGTCTTCTGGAGAGTACCTCTTCTGGTTGCTTTTCTGGCGGTCTTCCTCAGTGCTGTACTCGTATCTGGTGAAGGAAGTGGCTCAGGTAAGGATTATGGCACTGCTTCTTTAGTAAATAATAACTGTTATTGAATCATTACTCATACTGAAGGTGTTGTTTGTGTTCACATGGGGAGGAGAGTTAGCGTTTCCTGGTGAATAGTGGTCTCCAGTTCTCGTAATTGTATGTTGTCTGACATTGCACTCGATTTCCGACACTGGTAATGTTGTGCTACACGTCACCATGGTCACAGGCATGGGGTGAGCGAGGCGAGACAAATCTTCGCAACCGCAGATGTGATCAGATGGCTTCAACAGTGGTACGCGGCTGGTGCTAAATTACTGTTCTGCCATCCATTGATACGGCAGCATTAACTGTCTCAGTCAGAGAGTAGTACAATTGTGTTTCATCACTTCTCTCATTAGCGTTTTCGTATCGATAAGTTGCGAGAATCGGGCGGAACCGCAACGTCAGAGATACACGTGTTTCCATCGCGAAGGGCCTTCATGAAAGGGCGACTAAAAGCAGCTCAGAAAGGGCATACGGTTTGCTGAGTAGTACAATTGTGTTTCATCACTTCTCTCATTAGCGTTTTCGTATCGATAAGTTGCGAGAATCGGGCGGAACCGCAACGTCAGAGATACACGTGTTTCCATCGCGAAGGGCCTTCATGAAAGGGCGACTAAAAGCAGCTCAGAAAGGGCATACGGTTTGCTGAAAAAGAAAGCTGATGCACGGACGCTTCGGTTCCGCCAGATTCTTGCCAAGATTATCGAGTGTAAAGTGCTAATCAGCAAAGTAACGGGAGAAGTGATGGAACAGGCTGTATCTCTCCAGATCTGACTGATGCAGTTTTTTTGCTGCTTGTGACATAGTTGATAAATATGGTGGTAAAGACACACCTGGCAATATGGCGGTAAATACACGCCTGCCCACACACGCTCTCTAAGCTGCAAAGTTTTGGCACAGAGCTCTCCTTCTCACCAAGCTCTCCTTCTCATTCTACATAGGATGTAGAATTTGGATTTAACGCAAAAAGTAAGGCGAGTTGCGCATTGAACACACATACACACACCATTGGATAAGGTTAGGTGTCCTTAGTGTTTTCGTTGCCATCTCATCAGAAGGATTGAACTGGCAAAGCCATATGAACGCGCAACACACTATAAATCCTCGAAATGCAGTGAAGTAAAGAAATGCCAACTTCAGTGCCAACACAACGAGAGCTGAGAGTGAGAGATAAAGGTGCTACTTGCTGTAGTCAAAAACACTCATCACAAGCAATGCTCTCATGGGACCATGTGCGGCCATTTTGAAAATTGAAAAAATTGCACGTTTAGGCACCCAAGGTGGCAGAGGTCGTATCTGTTCACGTGAAGACAGATGATTCCAGGGACATACCACCCTGGGGCCTAATAAATTACAACTCCAGGGGAGAGGGCAACTTTGTCTAACTGTTTTTGTTTATTTTTAGACCAAAGAAGATGAAGAATGTTTGCGCATGCGTATATACGTTCGGGCTAGTGAGGGAGACTGACGTCATGCAGCGAGGTCGCTACACACGTATGCAATGCACTGGACATAGTCCTGCATTTTGCGCCCATTACTTTGCCTTACAAAGACCTCATCTCAACAATTTTTCCAAGAAAATTGTCATCCGAAAGCAGTTTTGCAAAGCAAAGTTTTGGGCCCTACCGGTAGGATGGCTATTATTAATTAACAAGCAGGTTGTCAGTTGAGACTTTCCACGGTTGGAGAAAAATGCGCATTAATGTTGTAGTGAGATAAAAGCAGAGACAAGAGTCCATAAACAAGAGTATAGTATGCAACTGGGATCTCTTTTCTATGGGCCAGATGCGCGGCGCCCTGCCTTCATTACATCATTCAGCTGCAGTGCATGCACTGCGGAAAATCAATCACAGCACATTCCCTCTGGTTTGAAATGACCTTTCGTGCGGAACTGGAGTTCACGTGCCAAAATTTAGAGATCGCACAGGTATTGGAACACGCTCTCTAAGCTGCAAAGTTTTGGCACAGAGCTCTCCTTCTCACCAAGCTCTCCTTCTCATTCTACATAGGATGTAGAATTTGGATTTAACGCAAAAAGTAAGGCGAGTTGCGCATTGAACACACATACACACACCATTGGATAAGGTTAGGTGTCCTTAGTGTTTTTGTTGCCATCTCATCAGAAGGATTGAACTGGCAAAGCCATATGAACGCGCAACACACTATAAATCCTCGAAATGCAGTGAAGTAAAGAAATGCCAACTTCAGTGCCAACACAACGAGAGCTGAGAGTGAGAGATAAAGGTGCTACTTGCTGTAGTCAAAAACACTCATCACAAGCAATGCTCTCATGGGACCATGTGTGGCCATTTTGGAGCAAAAACGGATGGGCTCGTACGAGAAATCGTGGGTTTGAGTGCATGCTTTCAGAGCGTGATGGAGGCAAGTTACGTAATGAAGGCAGCCCACCATGCACTGACCCATGACCACTGTTGCATACTGTTGTTTATGCACTTTTGGCAAAAAAGGATAGGAAATTAAAGGGGCACTCCGGCTTCATTTTCGACGCCGAGTTTTCGATGCCAAGACGAAGGTAGGTGAAAGAGAAGACCCCTCGAACAAGAACGAGTCTCCAGAAGCGATCGAGTCGAGCAGGAAGACGACTTTTTGAATTTCGCCGAGCGAGCGCTGATGACGTAATGAGGGATTAGCTTGCCAGTGGAAATGCATCTGCGCACATACATTTCACATACTTTTTGGCCAATTTTCAATCGAAGAGGAGGTTGTTTTCTATGTTCTCTCAACGTCGTGAGCGATCCCGTCTTCTATACCCTTCCAGGTACCCTGAAGGTCCTCCAGAGGAGAATTTATCTCCAGCGAAGCGTTGTTGATCCGCTAAATTCGTCTCGAGACATATTCACCCAGTGCAGTGCTGATAAATGTAGAATGTTGAATCTGTGATAATTGTTGACGATGGAGAGAGAGGCTGATAGCCGCTGTCGCAGGGAGAGTGAAGCTGCTGGAAGTAACAACGGGAAGCCCGTTTGTATCACCTGAACAACCAGACTTCAAAGCAGCTTGACCAAATCGGAGGGTGCCTCGGTGCTTATCGTGAATATTACACCGACATGAATTACTACAAGTACACTGGTGAGTTTTTATCTTGTTTTGTTCGTATGCTAGTACCCTGGCCTGGAGTTCTCGTTAGCAAATTCCTATTCCCCGGCGTTTTCTAAACATTCCGTGTAGTACTGAATACGTGATCAAGTATTCCGATTTGGGTGGATGTGGAATTTGGACATGCATTTTATAAAAAAATTCTATTTTCCCAATAGAGCGTTTGTAGTGAAATTCAAATGGTTGCCCAAATACAACGAAATTGATTCTGCAGTTCTACAACTTGTACTGAAATCCAGTCAAAGTAAAAATGATTCTTCATGACAGTTGGGGTCAATGAAATCTGATCCAGGCATAACGAATAGTGACGCCTGCCACCCCGAGAACGAATGCCCATTTGGTGGGGGATACCTAAGTACTCGAAAGTGGTGCATGTTTCAATGTGGCATGGAAGTTTTATAATATGATCTCTGGTCAATGCAACATACGATAGCCATCATGAATTGCAGGCCTCGAATGCAACTCAGACCAGAATTGGCAGTTCCCTAAGTTTATAATTCCATGGCCCCAGCTGTGGTTATAGAAGTTTGTTTGCACATTATTCTTATAGTCGATAGGTTTATACTAATGGCCACAAACAGCGGCAGTTCAAACTTCACTGACGTGTTCATGAGCTGAGAGATTTCTCTCCACTATTTCTGTTGTGCATACAGGTCTGTCCAATATGCATTGACAGTATTGGGTATGGTATCTGCTCTGAGAAGGGAATCGCTGGAGCCACAGTCCAACTAGACAGGCTTTCAAGAAACAGAGAGGATCCATCTTTCCAAGCTGATACCTGATGTGTACCGACAGAATTCTCACGAGATACCTTACGGACAACGTGTGGTGTGTACTTCATAGTACTCCTTCGACTACTATCTAGAATCAAGTCGACCGAAACAAGTCAAACAACTCTGGCTTCAAACGAGCCGTCGATTAGACAAACAAAACATTCTCTCATATACTGGAGCACTCTGACAACTCACGACCTATTCCTAACGATTTCCACCGCTTATACATATGTAGAGTGCTGATTGGAATGTGCTCACAATTTCAACAATTCAGTGCTATAATTATTTGAACAATGTGTTAGAAATTATTCCACTTTTCCTTCCATAAATGTTGTATCCACATATAATCCACAGTGCTCCGAAGTTTCAGAGTTCTCAGGGTATCAAACAAAATTATTTCAAATACAGTTAAATTGTTCGTGGACATTATAGCGTAACTAATTTACGTGTAGTTCCCTGGTCCTTTTCTTTGCTATAAATTAATCCTTTGCTCTCTAGCCGCCTGCGAGTCCAACAGTGAAATTGTTAGTTCATTTTTATAATGTGGGTATGTGGGAGGGGGTTGAACATATTTTTTATATAAGGGACCTGCAACTGTAATACCACAGTACAGTAGCCGGCAAATATGTAGAAAACAGAAATGCATGTTCCCATCATTGTACATTGACGGGCTGAAGCTATCAGCCAGAACAGGATTTACAATCACTTAGAGATACTTGAGCTATTCCAGTATTCTCCGTGAGCTGTCCCATTCCACAATGGTTCATGCCACCATTATTTCTGGTAGTATCTGTCCATGTGCATAGTTCCAAGACCATCTCGGATTCTTCAGCAATTTGTGCCACGGCAAAAGACATTGCTTGACTCGGTCACTGGGGCTGTCAAACTTCCCATCACAAATGAACTTCAATTTCTCATCTGTTTCAAGTATATGTACTGCCATGACTTGACCATGCTTCATCCACAGCTGGGCGAAGATTGTGGCGTTGAATTCCATAGCGCACCTTCTTGCTGCCATGCAGGAGTATGTTGAGAGAAGTGAACATATTTTTACTAAAAAACAACAGCCACTGAAGAGGATAGCAATAGCCTTGGGTGAATTTCCTGCAGGTACACGTTGTTGGTAGGTCTACTGGTCGGTGTCCATATCGTCAAGTTCAGAAATCACCTGTACTACACATCTTCTAGAAGGGATCCTGATCGAATAATTTTCTGGTCATAAAATTCACTAAACTGAGGGCGAGACAAATAGTCAGTACTCCCCGATTCCGTCAAGCTGCTTTGAAGTCTGGATGCACATGTGATGCTAACAAGCTCCCCGTTGTTACTTCCAGCAGCTTCACTCTCCCTGCGACAGCGGCTATCAACCTCTCTCTCCATCGTAGACAATTATCACAGATTCAACATTCTACATTTATCAGCACTGCACTGGGTGAATATGTCTCGAGACGAATTTAGCGGATCAACAACGCTTCGCTGGAGATAAATTCTCCTCTGGAGGACCTTCAGGGTACCTGGAAGGGTATAGAAGACGGGATCGCTCACGACGTTGAGAGAACATAGAAAACAACCTCCTCTTCGATTGAAAATTGGCCAAAAAGTATGTGAAATGTATGTGCGCAGATGCATTTCCACTGGCAAGCTAATCTCTCATTACGTCATCAGCGCTCGCTCGGCGAAATTCAAAAAGTCGTCTTCCTGCTCGACTCGATCGCTTCTGGAGACTCGTTCTTGTTCGAGGGGTCTTCTCTTTCACCTACCTTCGTCTTGGCATCGAAAACTCGGCGTCGAAAATGAAGCCGGAGTGCCCCTTTAACGCACTCTCCACATACAGGCATGCACCCGGCTCAGAACACATTGTTTTCTGGTTGGCATATCAGGGATATTGGGCGGAGCAGCTGGCGTGCATAATAAAAGACAGGTCGGCCTGCTCTGCGCAGGAGCTGTGACCCGGTGCACACATAGTGTGTGTGAGAGAGAGAGAGACAGACGGGTCGGCCTGCTCTGCGCAGGAGCTGTGACCTGGAGCACACAGAGTGTGAACGAGAGACGGTCGGCCTGCCGTGGGCAGGAGCTGCGACCGGTAGTGATTGAAATGAGCCAGCTGCGGAGATAGACTGCCCTCACCCGATATAAGTTGTAGTAGACGGACTTTCCCCAACACAAATCACTATGTATTACTATGTATTGCACTATGCATTGCTGACACCATCAGATCCCTTGCCTTCATTCGCTAGCTAGCGCTCGGAGCTGTAACTGGCAATCTCGTACCGTATATAGATCCGTGTGTCAGTTGCCCAGCTCAGTTGTTGCAGAGCCTTCGTTTCCGTTGTTTCTGTCGTCTTACCTTCACTTATTGAGTCTTTCAATATACTATAAGTTAGTTCTGTGCTACCTACGTTTGTCTTTTCGTGCAATATTGTTCCCTGAGAATACTACCTGTGTTTTGAGTCGGAGAGACTGGACCAGTTTTGCCTTGTCACTCGGTCGCGTATTACATAAGTATATTGACAAGAGTTGTACTGACACTGTGATTGAGGAAATTATGGTGACAGTGACGGAGAGATAGTGATCCCCAGTCGAATGGGGTTGGGAGGGAAGGGGAAATTGACAACTGACGGACAAACCAGTGAACAGTCAAGTCGTCGGAAAGCAAAAGTGACAAAGGAGTCTCTCTTTTCTCTTTCTCTCTCTCTAAAGCAAGATTTGGAAAGCACGCGTGGGAGAGTGGCGCGCGCTGCGCATGCGCATGTATAGCAATGACATCATAATCAGATGCATGATCATCAGACTAAGTATGAGTGGTAGATGTTCCACGTTCGTTAACAGGGCTTAGCGCACACGCTAAACCACCATAATAGGAAGTAATATGACAATATTCAATGAAAGCCTGTTCACAACCCCGCCTAGCCTTGCAAATTGGGAATGTACTGAGAACCCAGGTTCAACGCTGTAGCAAGTGCTCTCCATTCAAGGTGTTCACAGCAAATGATAGGAAATAACACGGGAAAATAGAAGATGAGAGAATAAGATAAAAGAGAAGAGCAGAGGGAGACAGGGGGGGGGGGAGAAAATTATGTGCGCGCAAGTGTTTGTGTCTTATTGTTGTAGTGCGTCTAAGACTCATTGGTCCTGTTTCTGTGTGTGTGTCTGTGTGTCTGTGTGTCTGTGTCTGTGCCTGTATCTGTGTCTGTCTGTGTCTCTGTGTGTCTGTGTCTGTGTCCATGCATGTTTGAATGTATGTGTGGGTACGTGTTTGTGCAAGTTTGCATGTATATGGGTACGTGTGTGTGTGTGTGTGTGCGTGTGTGTGTTTATGCGCGTGCCCGTGTGCACTTATTTCAGAACCGCCAACCGATGATGGTGAGGACTCATTCAAAACGAGCTCGGCCCCAACACCCATGGCGTTTACAACGGGAAGCTCACCGCCGACAGCAGTGACTCCAGCTTCATTGACTTCTGCCTTTGCTACAGTAAACGAGACGAAACCAACTGACGGTGCTAAAGACAATGGAACGGGCCCAATCAGCTTTACACAAACCAGCACAGCGCCGACGAGCTTTAAGCAAACCAGCACAGCGCCGACGAGCTTTAAGCAAACCAGCATAGCGCCGGCGAGCTTTAAGCAAACCAGCACAGCGCCGACGAGCTTTAAGCAAACCAGCACAACGCCGACGAGCACAGCATTTACAACTGGGAGTGATGTACACTCAACCAACCTTCACACAGGCTCTGCTCCTACACCAGCATCTATGACAAGTGCCGACAAGTCAACCGACGTTACCAAAGCGTCCATACTCCCTACACCTACGGGCTTTTCAACAGGAACACCAGGACAGACAACTGAGCTCTCCACATCGAACACGGCAGCAGTAGTTACCTCTGGGTTTGCTACAGGAAGTGAAACAGAACCAACCGACGTTTTCAAAACTAACACAATCCCAACGGACACAGAGTTTGTAACCGGTAGCCAAACACAACCCACCACTCCGCTGACAGGCACTGCTCCTACCCCTGCATCACCAGGAACGCTTGCACCCCCACCGCCGCCAACATCTCTTCCTGACTGTCCAAAGATGCAGTACCACAATGGAACAGCATGTGTGAGCTGCGAATGCGCTAGTGCTAGGACCGACTACTGTGATGAGGCAAAGGGCGTTTGCTCATGTCTGGAAGGCTATTCCGGCAAGTCATGTCAAGAATGCGACGTGCCAGCCGGTTATCTTCCAAGCAGCAATCAGACGTGCCAGTTTTGTCCGAAATGCTCCGTCAACGGTACAGCCACCTGCACTGAAACGGCTGGGATGGGCTCCAGTAAGATCGTCACTTGTCAATGCCGAAGCAACTGGGAGGGTGCGACTTGCAACACGTGCAGCAACTTGACCTATCGTGGCATATCCCATTCGAACGACACCAGCTTCGCCAGTGTGGATTGTTTGCCATGCTTGTGTGATCCAAAAGGAGCAGCATCATGCAATGTAGCGAATGGAGATTGTACTTGTCGACCGGGATATACTGGAGGAGAATGCCAGAGATGTGCATCATTCTACTACCCCAACAAAGCACAGCATTGTGTAAAATGTAACTGCACTACTCACGGTACACTGAGCTGTCAACAGGACACCGGCATCTGCCATTGTGCAGCAGGCTTTCAGGGTGCAGACTGCTCTCAGTGCTCGCAACAGTACCACCGGTCGATGGATGGTCGGTGTCAGCCATGCAATTGCTCTTGGAGTGGGTCTGTCGGCTGCAATAGCACCACTGGACAGTGCCTGTGCTCCTCAGGATGGACGGGAAAACAGTGTGAAACGTGTCCTCAGTTTTATTTCATCAGCAGGAACACAAACATCAGCGGAAATGCGACTGGGCTGTCAAATTGCACTGCTTCTTCTTTGGGTGATTGCAATGCCGCAAACTTTGACCACATGATGAACGTCACTGACTTGTTACCACCACTGGTCTGTAATGATTCCATAGCAGAATGCAACTTCACTGCTACTGGTCTTGTTGCCAATGGACTGCAATGCACTGCGTGCCAGTGCCACAGAGCTGGCTCGATTGGTTGTGCTCCGTTGACGGGGGTATGCTTGTGTATGCCAGGCTTTGCTGGACCCAGGTGTGACAGATGCCTCGATTTTCACTACCATTCCACCAACGCGTCGGTGTGCGAACGCTGCAATTGCCCTTCGAGTGGCTCTGTGTCCTGTAATGCCACGAGTGGGCAGTGTAACTGCCGGCCGAATCACCATGGCGAGCGATGCACCAACTGTACAAACCGGCACTACCTTAATGACCATGGGTTCTGTGTGGCCTGTAACTGCAGCATTGACGGAAGCGTAGGATGTGATCCTCTATCCGGGTCTTGCTCCTGTGGACCAAACTGGTTTGGACCACATTGTGATATCTGCCCACATCTCCACTACACTACATCGAACAAGAGCGTGTCAGTACCAATGTCAGGCACTGGTACACTAGTGAACATGACAATGCATGCTTTGAACTGTGTTCCCTGCGCTTGTCATCAGAATGGCTCGGCTGGATGCGACAGGTGGAATGGATCCTGCCATTGCCACACGTCCGTGACTGGCAGTGACTGCTCGGTGTGCGCAATGGGACACTTCCAGAACTCCACTCTGCCTCACTGTGACCGCTGCGACTGTCATCGCAATGGTAGTGTTGGCTGCGACCAGCGTAATGGGAATTGTATATGCCGTAACCAGACGACCGGTAGCAAGTGTGACATGTGCAAGCCCTGGTTTTACTCACCCTTGCCACACATACTAGATTGTCAGCCATGCAATTGCTCCACACCAGGCAGTGCATTTTGCAATCGAACCACTGGGCAGTGTGGTTGTCACCGTACCTGGACTGGGAAGCGGTGCGATCAATGTCCTCATCTGCACTACCTCGGTACTGTGAACAAAGGCGACGACCCATCTTGCATTCCTTGTGATTGCTCGGCTGATGGCACATTGTCTTGCAGTAACAATGGTCAGTGCCATTGTCGCACTAATGTTTCTGGTGATAGATGCGATCGGTGTGCAGCTGGTAACTACCGCACAAACAATAGCCTTAGCTCGTGCACCGACTGCGGCTGCAACCCCAATGGTGCATCAGGCTGCGACTGGTTAACGGGCCAATGCAATTGCACCAGTGGGTACATAGGCCACCAATGCTCATCCTGCAGGCACTGGCACTTCCTAAGCTCCTCCGCCAACCCTCCTGTTTGTTCTCCGTGTGCGTGCGACACTGTGGGCAGTGCATCGTGCAGCAATCTCACTGGATCATGTACTTGTCGGCCGTACATCGCTGGAGCTCTTTGTGATAGGTGTAGCACACCTGGTACCAAGGTGCAGTCGCTGGAAAACTGTGATGACTGCCAATGTGTCAGCAATGGCACGCAGAGCTGTAATATGAAAACCGGTGTGTGCATGTGCCGTCCGCATGTCTCCGGTCTGTACTGTGGGCAGTGCAGCGCTTTCGCGTTCACAACGTCCTCACTGGACAGTTGCCAAGCGTGCTCGTGCGACAAGGGAAAGAGCCTGTCTTGCGGTAACACCACTGGCACCTGTGCGTGCCGTCCTGGCGCGGTGGGTGCACATTGCAGCTCTTGTGCAGCAGGCTACTACAGTAACTCCTCGGGTCCATGCCAGCAGTGTGATTGTCATCCAGTGGGTGCCGTCAGCTGCAATAACGACACTGGTGCCTGCATTTGTCAACCTAACGTAGATGGAAGTCATTGCGACCGATGCACCCACCTCTACTACCCAGCACCTAACGCCAATAAAGCCCAAGCTCTGGCCCAGTGTACTCCGTGCATGTGTGACCCGGTCGGATCACTGTCTTGCAATGCGTCGGGCACATGCAAGTGCCACCACAACGTTGTTGGTTCAAGCTGTGACAGGTGTGCTCCATTTCACTTCAGAAACATTACCCTCACCCACTGCTCGCCCTGTAACTGCGACCAGAGTGGATCTAGTTCTTGCACGGAGGAGACCGGCCTATGTAACTGCCGTCCGCACGCTACCGGTGATCGTTGTCAGACGTGTGTGCAGGGCTACTACAAGAATAGCAAGACAGGTCTCTGTGTACCGTGCACTTGTGATGCTCTGGCTAGTACGTCGTGTGATCCTGAAACTGGTAACTGCATGTGTCGTCAGGATGCGGCTGGGAAGAACTGCAGCGCTTGCAGTCCGAGCTACTACCGACCCAGCAAGTTGCAGACATGTCAGCGGTGTGCATGCAACACTGACGGCACACAGTTCTGCGACGGCCTGACCGGGAAATGCATCTGCAAGGCGAACATTACAGGTGTGCTTTGTGATCGCTGTGCCTTGTTCTTCTACCGAGCTGGAGGTAGCGTGGCCAACTGTTCACTGTGCCAATGTCATCAGGCTGGCTCACTCTCTTGCAATGAGCAAAGCGGTGCATGCAAGTGCAGGCCATCTGTAGTCGGAACGCACTGTGATCGATGCCAGTCATTCCATTATCAACTTCCCTCACTGGAGAACTGTGTCAGCTGTTCATGCTTTCCTGCCGGCACTGTGTCATGTAATCAGACTAATGGTGTGTGCAACTGTAGGGACAATGTCAATGGCACAACATGCAATCAGTGTGATTCGGGGTATTTTGCTATGCCCACTGTTGCTTCCTGTTCCAAATGTCTGTGCAATGCTGTTGGTACACAGCGTTGTGATCCACGGAATGGCAAATGTCATTGTCGGTCGAATGTAGCAGGCAGCCAATGCTCTTCCTGTGCTCCTGGATATTTCCAAAATACAACTCTAGACAATTGCGTGCGGTGCCAGTGCGACCCCTCTGGATCTCTCGGTTGTAATCAGGAGAGTGGGGAGTGCATATGTCGGCCAAATGTCGGTGGAAGTCGCTGCGACAGCTGCATAGCCCTTTCCTATCCCAATCCAAGCATTGCTCAGTGTAAACCGTGCTTGTGCCATCCGATTGGTAGCAGCAGTTGCACTGCGACAGGCCACTGTGTCTGCCGGCCTAACGTCACTGGTTCCTTTTGTCATTCCTGTGCACCTGGCTATTACTCTAATCCAACACTGGCCCAGTGCACTGTGTGCGCGTGCGATTCATCACGCACTAAACGCTGTAATCCAGGCACGGGCCAATGCGCGTGCATACCGAATGCCCAGGGTTCAACGTGCAGTTCATGCAGAGCGGGTTTCTACTACAATAATGTCACACGGTCCTGTGTCAGCTGCTCATGTAATCCACTTGGCACTGCATCCTGCAACTCGGTCACTGGTGAATGTGTGTGTCATAGTAATGTTGCCGGCTCGTCATGCAGCGTTTGCGCAAAGGGCTACCACAGGCAAGGCCAACTGCCTAACTGTGTGAAGTGTGCGTGTAACGTGAACGGCACGGACATCTGCAACCCGTTCACGGGTGCCTGCCAGTGCAAGGCGAATGTCCTCGGGCCTGTTTGTGACTCGTGTCCGCACAACTTCTACATGCCATCCGGTCCGGGTTCGTGTAGAGAGTGCGCCTGCAACCTTCTTGGCACGGCCCAGTGTGCAGGCAGTGATGGAACATGTCAGTGCAACTCCAATGTGATCGGCGCTAACTGCACGCAATGCCGAGTGAACTACTTCCAGAAGCCCAGTCTGCTGAATTGTGCACCATGCTTATGTGAGCCAACCGGCACAGAAAGTTGCAACCGTGTAACGGGAACATGCACCTGCAAGACCGATGTGGCTGGGCTCAGGTGCAATCGCTGCAAAGCAAAGTTCTTCCGCAATCCAACATTGGCTAACTGTACAGCTTGCGGCTGCAATGTTCAGGGCTCGAACAGAGTACAATGCGACGAGTCATCTGGCCAGTGCACATGCCGAGCAGGTGTAACAGATCGAACCTGCAATCGCTGTCAGGAGGGTTACTTCTGGCCAAATTCATCCCTCTCCTGCTGTGGTAGCTGCACGACAACGCCAGGAACTCCTTGTCAAGGTACGGGTCTGCGGCTTATGCTCCAAGCATTCAGACTGGAACGTGACGGTTGGCATCGGGGTGGGGATAAGGGGTGATGTTGGTGCCGGTTTTTCGCCGAAAAGTATTATATGTAAGCTTAGTGATTCCCATACCGCCAACAATACTCTCAGATTTGTACTCGATCTATTCATAACATGACTGCATGCATAGATGTTGTACAGGCACCAGGGTCCAGATCTTGATGCAAATGCAGTAGAGTGCTATGTGCGCAGAAAAGATCGGTTCCTCCTTTTCATGTAAAATAGAAAGAACACACATGGGAACGAATTATGAAGCAACTATCCACGACTGTAACAAGATAACAAGCAGTCAATACTGGCTCATTATCCGAGTTCAATCCTCCTTTTCAATCGATCGTTCATTACCTATCTGTATTGTTGCAATGTTGCATCAATAAGCTCTGGAAGTATATGGCACAGGGGGTCAGGAAAGCAAACGTCCCTTAAGTTTACAACTTCTTTGGCCGTTTAATTTTCAGCCCCCGATGGCTTCACGACTTAAAAACCGCAAGAAAATTTCATTCTGTAAAATCACTGCCTGTATACCCTGCCATACTGCACCTGGCAAACTATTTTTAGCAGCAAGAATTTTTGTGATTGTGACTGTTCACAGCATGCAGGTGCAGCGCTGGAGCAGTCAACCAGTCATGCAATGCAACAGGACAGTGTCTATGCAGGGACGGACACTCCGGTCTCAAGTGTAACCAGTGTGCTAAACAATCCTGGATTTTCCTCGAGGAGTCCGGCTGCGCAGGTATGGCAACGTACATGTTTATGTTCTGAACCGGATACATCAGGAAGTACGTGATGGCAGAACGTTTTAGTCGAGGCAAAACAGTTGAGCCAGTATGGTTTAGAGTGGATAATCAGAATTTCTGGACTCTTTTACAAGAAATTAGTTACTTCACCACTCTACAATGCACTCTCGGCTGACCCACTCCATGGGCACATCACCACCATAGCGAGGACAATGCCGTTGGTATCTTGATATTGCAGTGCCTGGAGACAGCTGCTTCACTCCAACAGAGTTAGCTCATTGGTGGAGTTAGTAGATAATGAATGGCATGGGCTGAACGAATGATGTATGCGGCAAAATGCTCGCTTTGCTGGATAATGAAAATGGCATGCATGCACATGTATGTGAACAGTGTCGGTCGACTTGAGATTTTGGCTCCCACCTTCCCCCTCATGAACGATGTTTGTTTTAGGGACGAAACACCTTTTGCGACAACCCCTTTGGCCGGGATTTTCACTAGTCTGAGTTATCTCGTTGCAAAACATGTTGGAAGATATTTAGGAAACTTCACTTCTCAACTCCAAACTCCAAAAACGGTCTCTTCACTGCGATTGAAGAGACCATTTTTGGAGTTTAGAGTTTTTTAATCTTTTTTTTACGAGACACCACGAACCTCGAGAACAGAATACTGCATGATAGAGGTGGTTGCAGACGCAACTGTGGTGGTGAAACTGGAGCATCTCCGCCGACCTGAGGTCTCGGCTTCAACGACACTTCAGTGCAGTTGAGAAGCGAAGTTTCCTAAATGTGTGTAAGTGGCTGCGTTGGAGTTTGCGGATGATTAGAAAAATGTTGGAAGATGGCGACTTTATCTTGTGTCTGCTTTGATTCAGATCCATCCAACGTTTTTTACCCGTTCGGTCCTAATGTCACGGATCAGGAGATGTCATCCTCATCCAATGGGTCCCAAGTGAAGTTCAGGGTGTTGAACTTGCCGTTTGGCATTCCTATTGGCACAACATTGTTCCGCTATCCCTCTGTTGGCGTAAGTTGTTTCTAATTGTTCTACATCACTCCTTGAGCATGTCGAAGAAGCCTATTTGATGCGTGCTATGCTGGTAGTTCCAGGAAATAGGCTGTGAGATAGTGCGTGTGCAGAAAACACTGCAGAACAGCTAGTCACTTCCACATGAAACTCAACGACTTGCACTCTCACCCATATAACATGGTGTGTGTGTGTATGTTCGTGCGTGTGTGTGTGTGTGTGTGTGTGTGTGTGTGTGTGTGTGTGTGTGTGTGTGTGTGTATGCGTGCGGCGATGGCTGTGCACAGATCTCAAGTGCTGGATATTTGACATTTTCAAGGCCTGCTCCTTTCAACCCACCAATATCCTTTCCTGAAGGACAGCCTATCATCTCACCTTACTGGTCCATAACGGATCTCCGCTGTCGTGGCAGAGTCTATTACCAGATCCACACGTCGGGCAGTGTTGTCGATCGAGCCAACAGCGATGTGAGAGCACTCGGGAATGCTACTGACTCGTCCTTTTCTGCTCGCTGGGTGTTGGTTGTCACGTGGGTGGACGTGCATGCGTTTCCAGACCGAGGCAATGCCCCTGCACTTGGTGTAAGTTGCTTGGTTGGCCGTTGATGCCGACACACTATCATCACTATGAAATGAAATGTGTGCACTCAGATTCAGACTGTTTTTCTTCTATAAATCTGTGAATCTACATCGACTGGTGGGGAACAAAGCAAAATATATGCTCATAATGTGCCGCCATGCACGCCTAGTCTCGCTATGTGCCGCCATGCACGCCTAGTCTCACTTTGTGCCGCCATGCACGCCTGGTTGAAAAGTTGAAAAGTTACCGTATATAATACAGTAGGTGCGATGGGTCGATAGTGTCAAGGAAGACGTCAAGCCTCTGAATATGCCGATTCAGGAATGCCTCGACCTCGCTACCAGCAAGCAACTCTGGTTAACGGTTGTTGACAGATGCATAACTGTTATGTCCCCTTGCGGACTAACATTCCATTCACTCATGCATTCTTACTGACACACACAAACACTAGCAATTCGGAAGCCATTCCTCTTGGTCAGGTAAAGTAACAACAACAACCATATGCGAGCATGCGCAAAACAGTAACAAACGGTGTAGTAGATATATAATGACTAACTTGCATACACAACAACTGCCCCCTTTCAAGAATGTTCCAGGGAATATTCTACCACAATTAAATACCTCAAAATCGTTGAAGCAACACATAAAATAAGTTCATCAATCCACCGTACGTGAATTCTTAAACTTTGACACAGCACTACAATAACATAATCTGATGCAGGAATCCGTCAGTCAATATTAGCAATACCAAGGATCTTGCACACTATTGTACATGGTAATAATTACTAGTTCGCTAAACAGTCCAGCAATGACATATCAGGGAACGGCTCAAAGCTGTTCAATCAGTCTATCCGGACGAACACTACGCCGAGACGAACGTCTAACAGTGGTTTCACAGGGAGTATTCTCGACCTGTGGTAAACCAACTTCAGGAGCCGACTGCTCACAAGGAGGATCCGCCTCAACTTGTACAGTAGCAGACTGTGGCGAGACGCTAGCCGGAAAATCACTGGCCCGTGACGACTCTCCTACGTCTGACAGCACTGGTGACGGTGACGTCTGATCGATTGTATCCAATAGTGGTTCTGGCAGCGATGCACTCAAGCTTGCCGGAACTGACCGTAGACGCAACTGATCTCGGTGACGCTTCCACAACACATCACCCACTTGTACTTCATAGTTGTAGTCACTGAGGACACGCACAATTCGTCCCGGGACCCAACGATTACCTTTGCCGAAATTCAGCGCAAACACAGAGTCACTCTCTGTGAACGCTGGCTTGACGCGATTGCCGTCCTCATAAGCCTTTGCTTGTTGACGTACCTGCGAGGGACGCAGAGCACTGAGCCGCGTGCGTGGCTGGCGTCCAAACATCATCTCCGCCGGTGTTCTGCCGGCATGGTTGGGTGTCGTGCGGTACGTTAGCAGAAACCTGTCGAGCCGAGCTTGCAGTGGTTCGCTCGTTGCACCCATTTCCTTCAACTTCTGCTTAAACACACCCACATAGCGCTCAGCAAGTCCATTCGTAGCCGGATGGCCTGGAGCCGTCAGGGTGTGCACAATGTCGTTGGCACGGAGGAAAGCCTTGAATTCCTCGCTCGTGAATTGGGTTCCATTATCTGAAACAAGATGCTCCGGCAGACCAAACACAGAGAACACGTGCCGCAGAGCCGCAATAGTGGTTGCAGACGTGGCATTAGACATTGCAATTACATCCAGATACTTTGTGTATGCATCCACCACAACCAGGAACATCTTGCCCATGAATGGTCCTGCAAAGTCGATATGCACCCGTTTCCAAGGACCGTTTGGCCATGACCAGGTTCCCGACTTGGCAGGTGGACATTTCGCACTTTCTTGGCATTGAGCACATGCCTTGACCAACATTTCAATCTCTTGATCCACATTTGGCCACCATAAGTACCGTCGTGCCATTTGCTTGGTTTTGACCATGCCAAAGTGCTCCGTGTGCAAATCACGTAGCAATACCATTCTTAGTGATTTGGGTATGACAACTCGTTGTCCCCACAATAGGATACCATCTTCCGCAGACAGCTCATCCCTCTTATTGTGGTAAGACCGAAACGATTGGGGTACTGAGCTAGGCCAACCATTCACTACATAGTAGAGCACCTTAGATAGCTCAGGGTCACGAGCTGTTTCCGATTTCACTACGTCTGCTTTGATTATCGTATCTTCCTCCACTAGCAAGACACGAACCGTAACCATTTCCTCTGCAGACGGACTGATATTCTCACATGGTTGCCTAGACAGGAAATCCGCGTAGACATTTTCCTTGCCTGGCAAATACTTGATCTCATAATCATAGCCAGCTAGCATTAGTGCCCATTTCTTGATGCGAGCTGATGCAAGTGTAGGAACTGGTTCGTTGTTTCCCAGTAACTTCAATAGTGGTTGATGGTCGGTTTGAAGCGTGAAGTGGCGCCCTAGCAAGTATTTCTGGAACTTCGTAACACCGAAAACCACAGCTACGGCTTCCCGTTCGATTTGTGCATAACGCGATTCAGCCGGTGTCAATTTCCTTGACACGTAAGCAACCGGCAAAACATCACCATTCTTTTGCCTTTGCAATAGTACGGCACCTAGACCCATTGGAGAAGCGTCCACCTGGAGTGTGACTGGCTTCTTGACCTCGTAGTGTGCTAATAGCGTATGCTCACACATTGCATCTTTCAAGGCCTGGAATGCATCTTCCTCTGCCTTGCTCCATTGCCATTTCATTTCTTTCCTGAGCAGGTTGTACAGTGGTGCAGCAATCTCTGCGAACCGAGGTACAAATTTCCGTTGAAAATTTGCCGCACCCAGAAAAGAGTACAATTCATTCACGTTGTTAGGCGGCTTTGCGACTTTCAAGGCATTCACTCGATCAGGCGAGGGTGCGATTCCCTGCGCGGTTACCTGATGACCGAGGTACGTTAGCTTATCCGCCATGTAGCTGAACTTCTTAGGATTGAGCTTGAATCCTTTCTCATTTAGGCAAGATAGCACTTGATCCACATTTTTCTCATGGATCTCCTCATCACGACCAGTACACAACACATCGTCGATGTAGCCCCCGCATCCTGGCAAATCGCTAAGGGTTTCTTCCATTACCCGTTGGAAAATAGATACGGCGCTGTGAAAACCAAAAGGGAGTCGTTTGTACTGATACAACCCCTGCATGGTATTGATCGTGGTGTACTTCCGACATTCAGGTGCTATCTCTAGCTGGTGGTAGGCTTGCGACAAATCCAGCTTCGTGAATTTAGACCCCGGGCCCAATTTGTGCAACAGCTCCTCAAGAGTGGGTAGCGGGTATTGCTCGCATTTAGAATGCAGATTGATAGTGCCACTGTAGTCACCACAGATTCTCAACCCACCTCCTGATTTCTCTACCGTGACAGTGGGGGAGGCCCATTCTGAATGCGTGACTTTCTCGATTATACCATCTGCTTCCAATTTATTCAGAGCCTCAACATAGCTCTCCCGAATTGACAGTGGTACCGGCCTTGCCTTTCGGTAAACAGGGCTCTCATCAGACACATGCAATTTCACCTGCACGCCTTTCACCTTTCCCACTTCTGAGGTGTCGAACAACCCTGGGTATTTCTCAATGAATTTAGCGCCAGACTTTTCGACCTGGTGCACTTCGAAAATTGATTTCCAGGGGAGTTTGAACAAAGCCATTGCATCTCTGCCCAGAATAGATGGACGGTTTCCATTTGTAACCCTCACCAATAGTGTGTGCAATTGTGTGCCCATTCGGAACTCCATTTCCGCTTCCCCGAGACAATTAATCACATCTCCAGAGTAGGACACAAGGTTGATACTGGATTCCATCAGGTTACTCAGCACACCATTGCATTGCAAGAAATCTGCGCTGCTGAGAATCGTGACAGCACTTCCCGTATCAATCTCCATTTGGATAGTGGTACCCATTACATCTAATGACACAGTGTACGGTAGTCGCCCCATTGCATTTACACTATACATGGTGACATCGGGTTTACTAGCACATGGAACGAACTCACCAATTTCTTCCGCGATGTGATGGACGGTTTGTCCAGACTTCTTCTTGCGGCAAGCTCTCTCGATGTGACCCACCGTACCACACGCGTGACACTTCACACTCTTGAAGCGGCACTCTTCCGGTTTGTGACCAGCCTTGTCACACCGAAAGCATTTCTTGTCGTGCGACTTGAAAGTTGGAGTTGGCTTGCTCGTCGACTGGCGCGAACGAACGGCGTGGACGGACTGTGCCGTCAATTGTTCCGACTCTCTCGATGCAGTTTCATAGGCTGATGCCATCGTCACAATGTCCGCCAAACTTGAGGTCTCCTTTGCTTTCGACAATATCTCCTTCGTAACACTCATCGACTTCAACCCACTGACAAACTGGTCTCGGAGTGCCCTGTCCAAATACGCCTGAAACTTACAGTCCATGGCTGCTTGCTTTAGTCTAGCTGCATACTGTGTTGCTGACTCTCCATCCTTTTGACAAATCCTCTGGAATCTATGAGTCGCCGCCAACACACTGACATTAGGCTTGAAGTGCTCTGAAAGCAATTCTCCGAGTTCCTCAAACGTTTTCTGCGCTGGTTTGTCCGGCAGGCAAAGACTCTTCAGAATCGAGTAGTTCTCAGCAGAGAGTTGACTGATCAGGACAGCTGCCTTTTGCGTGTCCGCCGCTCTCTCCTGGTCCGCGGTTGCCCCAGCTGCGACTTGTCCAATACTGTTGGCGATAAAATAAAACGTGAGTCTCTCTACATACTCACGAAAATCACCTTTTTCAAATATTTCAAGCTTCGATCGCGACATCTTCGTCTTTTATCTTCGTCGCCAAATTGTTATGTCCCCTTGCGGACTAACATTCCATTCACTCATGCATTCTTACTGACACACACAAACACTAGCAATTCGGAAGCCATTCCTCTTGGTCAGGTAAAGTAACAACAACAACCATATGCGAGCATGCGCAAAACAGTAACAAACGGTGTAGTAGATATATAATGACTAACTTGCATACACAACAATAACCTTGTATGGTTTTGTTTTATGTTGCCTATTTATACCATTATTGTTCGGTGCGTAGAGCTCTGTGATGTGTGACATTCATCATGTAATGCTGGCGTGGACTATTATTAGACGTATGCTCATTGATAATTTTAATATCAGCACTCATCTGTGCCTTGGTTTTCTTGCAGGCGAATTCCTTCCAGGCGGTTGTCACCACCGATGGGTGCGTGAGCTACAGCATGTTCCATTACTTGAACGGCTCCATCGTGTGGTCTGGACGGTTCAACATCCATGCGCGCATGGGCTACACGGATGGATCCGGCGTATACACGTACTCACACCCTGACTCTAGCACACCGGCCGTGAAGACCGTGGACCTATCAAGCAACATCAACACCACCTACAATGGCAAGTGGATGTGGAGAATCACGGGGCCTTGCTCCGGCACATTCCTGGCGCAGCGCAAATGCTTGAAATGGGCTGACGACGACGCTATACTGTATCCTGAAGTAGGGGACTACTCCGAAGCAGCCCAGCCTTGTCCACCCTCTTTCAGACAGGCCATATCTGATCAGCAGTTCACGCTCTTCCGTAATTACAAAGAGCAGCGCTTTTGTGTCCGGCAAAGATTCTCCAGCAGATTTTCCGGCAAACGGATCTATAGTGTAAGTTTGTCACGTAAACAATTTTCTATCAGTTCATTGCGAAGGTGTGTTATTGGGGGGGGGGGGGGGGAGGTCCAGATTGCCCTTCATAAGATTACCAATTTAACCACATCTGAGGTGTTTCGGGTTGATTTCAGCAAGTAAACCAGGTCTCCAAGGCGTTCCGGCGTCGACATCACCAGGAAACATTGAATGTTAGCCAGTGTCGCCGGAAAATGCGCGCGCCTTCCTCTCCTTGTTATGTCTATAACTTCGAACCCTCCAAGTTGGAAGGCTGTTTAGTTGAAGTGCGCATCCAAGACGTGCTAGAGCTGAGTGGCAGTTAGTTGTAGAACGTCAGTACCGTTGGTCAGTGCCATGCAATTTTATCGCATGAGCTGATTGTTAAGTAGCTGGTGGTGTTAGTGGACATTATAGCGTAGCTTGTAGTTCCTTGGTCCTTTTTCTTCCTATAAATTAATCCTTAGCTCTCCATCCGAATCTAACGTGGTTAGGAGGTGAATATAATTATAGAGGCTAAAGCACTGAACAATGATTCGGTTCACCATGTAAAATAACAGATACAAATTTAATTGGAAGTTATGGCAAACAAATCACTGTATTTAGAGAGGAACCGGCTGCACCTTGCTCTCGGCGCTGCTCTGCGTTGAAGATGGTGGTCATTTCCAGTGTTCTTTGGACCGCCTGAGCCAAAGGCATCGGACTTGCGCCGCGAACATGCAGCCTCAGATCCACAGACGGACGACCATCAATAAATTGGTTCACCAAGAGGCGCTGGAACAAGTCCGTATTTATCCTGGCCAGGATACACCCTTGAGGCTAACTTTTGTAAAGCTGGCGCGAATTCTAAAGTACTCTCACCTGGTTTCATAGTACGTGCCCTGAATTCCGCTTCAAAGTATGTGTGTGATTTAAAATAGGTCGTGAGGCGATCACAAAGGTCCAAGTGCGTGTTGTCTGCATGTTGTGCTCTTCATTCTTTTATGGACCCAACATGGGCCAGAGTAGTGAGGCTGAAGGGGTGAGAAGTACCATTTAACTGGACCAAAGTGTACCCTGCCAGAGTGCTCCAGTGGATGTATGCTGTTATTACAACCCAGGTTGAGACTAGGACTTGGTTACTTTGACTGTATATTCCAAAAGACTACAAGCAAGGAAGTTTGCTTCAGGGATGGGGAATACAGAACATTAACAAATGTGCAAGGTCGCACACGTGGGCTTGTGTTTGTTCCAGGATTCATGACCTGTGCAAAATCCTTAGTTTCGTCAGCAGATCAGAAGACATGCATAGATATCACAGCTGTAATTTGATTGTCTGCGCTTGTGATTGCTAATCTTTGTACATGCCTAGATCTGCTGTTATGATCGGAAGTTTCAGGGTGCTCTTAACATCGGACCTCCTAATGGTGGCTTTGTCACCTTTCCCAATCATCCACACTCGGTTGCATTTGAAATGGGCGATGAGGACAAACGCCAGCTATGCTGCGAGCAAGCATTCATTTGTGATGTCTTTTACATGCGACGGCCATCAGACACTGGATCCAGATACGTTCCTCCACGCTGGAGTAAGTTTTGCAGGCTTGTACGACTGATGCATTGTTTGAGAGCATTGTTTACAATTGCTTTTTAATGAGTTTTTCATTGCTATTTTGTTCTGACATCATGGCTCAGCATGTGTGACAACATGACTGTGTGTTGTTTATGTGACGCCATGGCATGAAGGGACGGGTAAAAGTAAATCTACTCACTATGTGCTCTCAAGCTAGTGCTGTACAGCATGGATATGAGCGTGTATCCATCACCACCGAATGACAGGCCAATTCTTGTTTGTTCATGCATTTGCCCTATGTACGATGATCCACGCAAGGAGAGCATGTTCGCGGTACTTTTTTTCCTTCTGTTTCACAGCTTGGGTGTTTGGCGATCCTCACTTCCGGAGTCTCGATGGAAAGTCGTA